AACTTCACCACTCCATTTTAAAAATGTATGACGAGTCCGCGTCCTCCCGGTGGAAAGTAACCTTCGAACACTACCCAAGAATTAGCGGGTGGCAATTTTCCACAATTTTCCCCCTTTCTCGTTCGCCCGTTATGTAATACACAACTTTTACCACTAGTTTCTACGCGAGGACAAAAAAATTTATTTGAAACGCCCATGAATTTCATTTACCCAATTATTACATAACGAGCCAACAACAAGTTTCGCACAGGGTATTGATCGAATATTGGCGATTCTTATCGCTCAATCAGCCTTAAAAATATCATATATAATTATACACCTCGCTTGACAGGTTTCCCTTCAAAGTTATAAGTAATTGGTTGACATTTCAAAAATCAGATTGAAAAAAATAGTACCATAACATTTCCTTATCTAAAGTAAAATATCTACACTGTGCACTTTTATTCAATTCCGAGTAAATTTGCGTCGTTTTTCTGGCTAATATGTCACAAAAAGAGTCGTCATATAAAAAAAATACTTTCACTCACAAGGGAGGTCTCCCAGCGTATGCTCTCAGATTTTGAGCAAACTAGTGTCAATCGAGCACAAATTGAAATAATGTGAAATTTGCAAACGGCACGATCTCCCAATGGTCACGTTTGGCAGAGATATTTGCATCCGAGGAGGAGAAAGTGTACTTCAAAATTGACACATTTTACACTTTCAAAATTTACTGCGCGTTTTCTCCTCTTCGGATGCAAATATCTCTGCCAAACGTGCCCATTTGGAGATCGTATCGTTTGCAAATTTCATACTAATTAAATTTGTCCTCGACTGACACTAATTTTCTCAAAATCCGAGAGCATACGCTGGGAGATCTCCATTGTTAGAAAATCCACCCAACATATTTATGATGACCGATTGGTTACGTATACTTAGTCCTGCATAAAAAATTCATCCCAACTCAAAATTCATCTTCCTGTCGTATTTATATCACAGTAAGTACTTTGAGCATACATATTTTGTGTAACGAGACTGTTGACACTGTCGTTCGCGTCTGTCTACAAATTTGCGTCACCACGATGACGGTTTGAACTCTGTCTGGCCACCACCACATAAACCGCACCCACCCTCGCATAAATTATTCACCTGTGCCGCAATTTCCCATAAATAAAAATAAATACGTACAACATGCACGAGATTACGTACAACAAAGGATTAATTTCCTTATTGCTTTCACTCTTGACTTTGTGTCTCTTAATGGCGTTTTTTTCTCTCTCTTAAGACAGGTAGCAAATCAACCTTTTGTTTGTCAATTGGAGTGTATTGGAAGCACTTTTCGTTACGCAAGGTTCCATGTCCGTCCACCCCTTTTCTCGTGGTTCGACTTCTTTCTGAGCGTTTTTTGTAACATTGCATGTCTCCCTTTTTGTGCGGGACCTGCCCTCTTAATTTCGTAAACGTGGCGTATGTATTTATGTAATGGCACGGCATTGTTGTTGTTCAATCGACATTTGGCGACTACGTACGTACACGGATACACAAAAGTAAGTTGTGGAGGGCAACTCAATGAATGTATTGGGCAAGAGTAATCCTAATAATAATAATGATGATGATGAAGACGATGATAATAAATAGTTAGAAAGCGTGTAACCAAGGGGTGAAAGCAGTGTGTTGTGTGATAAAATGAATATCGTACCGTTTTTTACGGTCGAAAGTCAGTTGAAATAGACACGTCTGACGTGTTTTCGACATTTGTGACCTCAAAGTGTCGAAGGTCAAAGTGACGTATTTCGTTTGAAAGCGCTTTTAAACTACTGTCAATTTGAGCCCTCACATGATGCCGTTCTAATAATTATGACCTATGACCCGGCACCGTGACCTCGTGACCCATCTACGAACTCGGCCTTCACCTTAAGGTTAAGATTTTACATTGAAAGTTTCAATTTTGCATCGTTCACGAGTTATCGGGCCAACGAACGGACGGACACAACGATCTTATAAAAGGCTTTCACCTCGTATTAATAAATAGTCGTAGTAGTATTTCCAACAAGAAACTGAACCCTTTATTCTTGGTTAGCTATTTAACTAATGAGTAATGTTGTGTAAATGTAAGTATACGATTTCTGCCCTGCTTTTCATTCTATTCTCTGATCGTCTACTCTTGAACTGAATGTTAATTTAGGTGTTGTAAAACGATATTATTTATGCATGCCGGGTGGCAATAATTACGGTGCGGTACTATTTACACAAAAGCGCAGAATACGTAATGGAGGGTGTCGTAAAAGAATGCATATTTACAATGTCAACCATAAACACATACATGCCTAATTACTTTATGCTTTTTTTCGCTTTACACAGCTTTATCGTGCCTTTTATTGACGGGACACATCTTAAGATTGTGCTTTATTTTATGGCAGCGGCGGCCTCATTACAGAACAAAGAAGAAGAAATCTGTGTGGAGAATAGTAATGATGCATTTCTCATAAAATAAAACCATGTAAATATGAATGTGGCCAAACAACAAGTCATCAACCGTGATTTGCTTTGTATGCGGTTTTTTTTGCTGGATGGCATGATAAGCGAAATTATGTGACCTGTCGGGTCTCATTTTTCCCACGAATGCATGTGAATATCTAAACTTCGCCATCCCACCAAACTTTGCATGCTCACTTTCACTCACTTAAGGAAAATTGACTTCTGAACTAACGAGCCCCGACCTGTAGACATTTAATCTCATCGTTACTTGGTCTGCTCAGGCTGGATTTCTCCCTCGATGAAAGTGGGAGTGGTGTCTACAGCAATTTTTGCACATTGCCAACCAGTCAACCAACCAACCATCATCATCATCGACTCCCTGATTGACTTATGTATGCCAAAAGTAATATGTACCCTCCGAAAAAAAGTGAAGCCAGCAGGTTCCTGTCGTGTAATGTAATGTGGGGCTGAATAATTCCTACAATTTTCTTCTCCTCATCCCGTAAAATAAAAATGAAATGTTATGCTGATGGTGACACGACGAGGCTAAAAATGCGTGGTTATTACGCTTTTTATCGCCCTGCATTTGTGTGTGGATTAGATGGAAATATTTATAACAACGGGGTTGGTGTGTACATACTGGCAACACCACACCATCAACAAAACAAAACCAGTGATTCGCACTATAACACAGGTATGTCGTAGTGTGTAATAAATGGTAATAATCAATATTGGACCTCTGATAAATAATGGGTGGAGTGATATAAAACCCCGATTTATGGCCCATAGTTTCACCCGTAATGGCAAATTAATGGGGGGAATGTCCCATACCATTTAATCAACTCGGCCATTCGGGGACATACATATCCACACACTTTTGGAGAAATGGAATGAAAGAAATGACAACTTAGCATTATTATGTAACTCTCTATTTTCGAATAACTTTTTTGTTTTGGGGGGACACACTTAACATTTTTTTATGGTCAAGTAAACCTCTAATTGTGCATAAACCGAATGCATTTAATTGGCCCACTTTCTTTTCTAGGGTAAATAAATAGGATGGGAAATGAAATATGTAGGTGATTGGAAAAAATGGAAAAAATTGTGAATAAAAACTATATTTTTTCGAGGAACTTTCAATTAAGATTTTTAATTTTATGTCAAATGGGTATCACGTTTTATAAAATGAATGAATATAATTGGCCCAATTTCTAGGTTAAATATGAGAAATTAGATAAATAAACGAGCTGATTGGAAAAAAAATTGTGAACAAATTGCTTAAAAATTATAATCAAAAATTCTCGAAATATTTATCAGAAGGTTGCAAACTGCATGTTTTAAATTAATAATACTCAATTTCAGAACGGAGTCTAAATTCAAAATCTAAAAATAACTACCAAATTCAACAACCACTAGAAAAAAAATAAGTTTTGAAAAACCTTCAAAGAAATTTTGCACAAAAATCTAAATTTAATTTCCGCTCTTCCAACCGTGTCGACCTTGGATGGGCAAGACAATGAATATGTAGGTCGCCCAGGCTGTTAATTGGTCCAAGAGGACTCATCTTATTCTCGTCGAGAGAACAAGGGGAAGGTGATTATATTAAGTATTACTTACGCCCCATGTTTAATATTCAACAAAGATCTCAAGGTTATTTTAGTCCCGAGCTTATTTTGATACACTTCTTCTCCTCACTCGCTAATCTACTCTTTTAATTGGGGCAACAAAAGTGCATAAAATCCAGAATCTGCTCCAAACTAATTAAATTTTGCACCAGCGAAACCGAATTAATTTGTCATTTTCTGAAAATATAATGTTACAAAATTCTCGCGGAGGTGAGAGCTAATTAGTTGTTGCGAAATTATGTACGAGGAAGTTTTCCGTAATTATTATTGAGAAATGGCATGCATTCCTGAGAGTCGTAAAATAAAAAGTAGTAGTGGCAATGGCAACCTTGGAGGAGGTTTGATACCATCTGCAGGTACTGGTAGAGGTGGAAGGGTGGGTGGTTCGTGGTGGTGAAAGCTGTGAGTTAGTGGACCGGAAGGAAGTTGCAATTTGTGGAAAATTGCGTTATGCGGGTTTGGATAAATCGACATGCCGGTAAATATTTTGGATTTAATTTTTGGCAATTTTTTTCGCATTCGTAAAATTGTTAGTGGGGAACATTTTTTTTGAATTGTTGAAATTTTTGCTGGAACAATTATAATTGTTGATAAATCTTTTCTCATTTGCATTTAAATGCGAAACCCGAAAATTATTGGGAAACATTTTTTTAAGAATTAACGACATTTTGCTGGACGGAATAATTACAATTTTTGGCAATTTTTTCTTCTCATTAATAAATTTGAAACCAGAAAAGGGAAACTTTTTTAAGAGTTACTAAATTATGCGATTTTGTACCTGAAGCTATAATTTTTTACCATTTCTTTCTCGTTAACAAACGTGAAGCGAAGCCATAAACTTATTGGGAAACATGTTTCTACATTTTTGATCCTAATAATTACTGAATAATGAACTTGCGAACTTTTTCTAGAACTTACCTGCATTTTGAAGTACACAAAAGATCGCGAAGACAAGTCCGACCTTCACCAGGGATGAGAAATTCATCCATTTCCCATTTCTCAAAAGGAAAGCAGGATTATTACTCTTCATTCCGAAAAACCCCGTCGGGAAGACGTTCCCCTCACGGCGAGGAGGGCGAAGAAAAAATGAGCTTATCTTCATCACCATTATTCTCGAGGTGTTCTTCTTCTTCTTCTACGAATGAATGCACCTTTTCAACAAGAACAATATTTCTCCCCGCGTTGTCAAAAAGTGCGAAATTGTCCACATTTTTATTATAAAACTTAAGTCACATATTTAATTAATAATAAATGCACACACAGTTCAATTTAGAGGCAAATTGTTGTAACGGAACACAGCAGGTTTGGTTTAGCAGCACAACAATTCTTCAATTTTAGCCACTATTTTTTGACATTATTTCATATTTATTCTAGACAATATTTGACAGGGTCGGATGTCCGACAAGCGACACAATTTTTCACTCTTCTTCCCGTGATAACATCATATTTCAAATGTAACGTGACCTGAGCCAAGTGCCATAATGACGATTTATGTGCGTTGCTTTCTCCTCCTCCTCTGGTAAATATAATCGTATCATGTGAAACTTAACTTATCTCTTCTTGTGAGGAGAAGTATCTAGATATGTCCTAGTTTTTTTTTCTTTCCGGGATGCCGGAATCCGTAGAGAAAATCTTTTTGACCTCAAACTGTCACCGGCGATTTATATCTGTATCAATTTCAATATTCATTCATATTATTATTCAATACTTGGAGAGAGAACCATGTTCTTCTTTGAAGTAAACTTAATATTTTATGGGGACGAAGATTCCGTTCAGATCGGATCGGATCACGGCCAAGGAAAAGAAATGTCACTTATTCACTTTGATTTTATTTCACTTTTGATTTTGCTTAGTTTACACAATTTTTTTGTAGTATTTTATTTTTATTTTTGAGATATGATGAGGTTACTGAGACTGATATGACATCGGATGTTGCACACTCGCCCCGTTAATAAAACACTCACTCATCTCTTGACACGACGGTGTCAGAGGCAGGCAACTGTGTGGACGTAAAGTGAAGGAAATAAGTATTGGTTGGAGATCGAGAGATGAAAGAAAGGTTGGTCGGTTGGTTGGTGGGTCGTGGGTGTCAAAAAGTTAAGCCGGCTCAGGCAGAGATGAGATGACGAGTGGATTTGACACATATTAAAATGTCGAGTGTCGTCCATCTGCCAAATCTCATAATACATAAAAACGATATGGGTGAGAAGACTTATCTTGGAGGGGATTTTGTAAACATTGGTGTGATGGAGGAGAAAATGTGCTTTTTAAGGGAAAATATCGCCTAAATGTATCTATTTCTGGGGATAGGACGTCATCCATCACATCACACCCACTAGTTATTGACCTAGCGTAGACAAGGGTTTCGTTTCTTGTGGGTTTGCTACATTTCTTGGACTGGAAAAGAAGACATGCAAGAAATGCGAGGTGCAAGAAAATGGGAGAAAGTGCAAGAAATATGAGCAATCTAGCCACGTGCTGTATGAAGTATCGCGACTTTCTTGCGCCTTGCATTTCTTGCAGGTCAAAATACATGCAAGAAACCACTTTCTCCCCCTTATTTCTTGCAAGTGTTTACTTTCACCCGAAATAAACACTGATCCACTCTAGATTTCTGTACGCAACTGCTACACACAAACACACACAAGATTTACATATCATAATGATATCCTCTCATTTCATTAGAAACGTGTATTTGCATGTGTAGCGACCTGAACATTATAACGACTCGTCTGACCAAGTGGAAAATACAACTTTCTTCTCTGCCATCCATCCATCCATCCATCCATCGCAAAGCAGGGCACGAGGGGGTCATTATAATTCAAAATTCATGAGGATTCAATCTGACTCTGGGAGTGAATTGAGGGAGGTAATTAAGCCCAGGCTACCACCACCATCACCAACCACGTATTAAAACTAAAACCTCGCTCCCCTCTCTTTAAACCAGCAGGAGCAGTGGCAGTGTCCCCGGCCGCGGATGAAGTCATGGGGACATTTGGGGACGTTTAACATTGTGGGATATGGGGAGGGAGGGGTTTATATAACATGGGGAGATGATGCCGACGTCGGACAAGCGTGGGGACATTGTCCGCGGCCACTGGGTGAGGAGCAATTCTATAAATGCTGCAATCCATGAATTTGAATTATATTCTATTTCTTCCACCATGAGAATTATTTAGAATTCATACAGCGTCCTCCTCCTCCTCGAGTCGTTCTGCAAATATGTATGCAGCCAAACTCTGTGGGACGGGAAAGATAGACCAGAATTTAAATGGCGCAGCTTATGCATACTTCTTCTTCCTTCTCAACTATTGAATTGAATCGTGTCCCTCTCCTATTTAAGCCCCATGCAGCCAGGCGACTACCCATTATTCGTGGTAATGATAAATTTATAAATTATTTTCTCCCACCAAACCAACCTTGCTTTCACCTTGCTTTCGTATTCGCTATTAAGAAAAGTCAACCTGTTTCTTATTCTCCTTGGCCATGCAGTCTTTTGGTGAATTATTCAATCCGAAATTCATGAGATGTTTTGCCCAAGATGTGAAATTCAATTTTACAAAATCAAAAGTCCAGTCGGTGAAGAAACATGACTGATTTTTTGGCAAGAGGGGGACGTGGCTGGTTGCATTTTGGCCTCATTTGTAAAGCAATGAGATTCGGGGGCTGTTAAGCGTTCAGAAAAATTTAAATCTGGTTGTTGCACTTTGGTTTTTGGAGGAGAATTAGATGGGTGGGTGCCGTTGTTGGTGGGTTGTTGGATTCGCCCTTGAGGGAGCTACTGCTTGAAATGAAAATGAAGTGGATCTCGCTCGCGGAAGGACAAAACAGGGCTATCAGTACGACATGAAATATTCATGGGACACAGTCTAAATTTTTAAGGAGGGGAAATCCCATCCTCGAAAATCCATCTGGCAAGTAGGAGAAGAAACCTTAGTTGAATTAATCCTGGAATCGTGGAGGAAGAGCTGGTGGTGCGTCAAAGATGTCCAGGTTTGGTTGGTTGGTCGGATTGAAATTGAAATTAAGAGATGCAGTTTTAAGAAATTGATGCCCAACTTGAACTAATTTGTCGGCCTTGGGAATAAATTGAGTAGTTGCGGTGTCTGAGATTTCGGGGGGTAAAGTTTCTTTTGCTGTGACGACGCCACGAATACGACGCGGTACAAATGGTGACTTGTCGTGGACGGAGAGAGGAGGACCACCTGTAATTTTGGTGGTTTTAGGTTATTCCGATCGGAGAATCAGGACGAGACGACTGGCAACTTTTCTCCTTGAATGATTACATCAGGGGTTTCACTCGAACCATATTTCCCTCAGATTTTGCATAATCCAACTTTCTCCCTTTTTTTCATGATGCACTCTGGAGAATAGATTTCTTGTAAGAACGAGGGAAAAAAGTGGGTCGTGGAATGGAATATTACGAAATAAATAAATGCATTCAGTTCCAAGTGCTCAATTGAATGCAAAAGATTTTTTGGGAAATTTAGTTTTAAAATTGCACAGCACAAAAATGGGACGTATTTATATATCGTTGCAGAAGGAGGCGAAGTATGACTATCTACCAGAGATCGGATATGTATTCAGATATTTTAAACTTTTTTATTTAATGATGATGAACGATCAAACTTTGTGGGTGTTCGCTTACTCGAATAGATCAAAAAAATTCAAAACATTTTTACATCGTAAAAATAGGTTTTCAGAAATGTAAATATATTTATAAACCTTTCCGGTATTAATTGAAGAATATGTAAATATGTTACGTATAGTTTTATTCAAAAAATTCATGTATTTTTTAAATATTTCAAAGACGAAAAAACGTCAAAAAATCCAGAGATTTTTTACAAATTTTGTGAAAGTTCTTATTTTTCCGTACATATTTCGTACATATTTTAGCGTTTTTCTCCTCAATATTAAATACATATTCCACCCATTTTTCGCAAATACATATCCGCCCTCTGATGACACACATAAGTACATACATACAACACGAGACTAAAATTAAGATTTATCGTCCCCGTTCTTCACCCAAAATGTTGTTCCTTGTTCTGCCCGCTTTCACTTTGAACAAAGTTTTTGAAGACTTTCTATCTCACGAGAAGAAGATGAAGATGAAGAAACGACAACAATGAGCAAGTTTCCCCTCCTACGTGTCCCACCCACCCACTTACTTACTTATCTACCAGGCGTCTGACTGTCTCCGTCCGTCCGTAGGTGCCCGCTTTTCTAGTGGGGACGACAACTTTCCCATTAAATTAGGAATTTACGACACGGCACGACATGAACGACACGTCACATCAAATCACATCGTCACATCGTCCAAAACCCATCTATTTTCGCAAAGTTGTTCTTGTTGTCGCCGACTTTTTTCCTCCGCTTTTGCTATTTCACCGGAACGAAGAACATGACAAGTCGACACCGACAACTGAATAAAATTGATGAAGAAGAGACGATGGGGTTGAGATTTTTTGGCAGTTTTCTATCCTATTTTATTGTCAAAGTAGAGCTATAGAAAAGAAGTGGCCGTGCTGTGAGTGACGGTTACATGCGAACATTTAGTGTTTGATCTTCTGTTCAGAATTTTAGTTAATAATAAATTATAACACGAAACGAATGATGATGATTTTGATTGAGGTGAGAAGAAAGGCTTTCACTTTTTTGGCTGATTTTCAAAGTACGTGTTGCACTTTCACTACTATTTTTTGCTTTTATTTACACACCAACTTTATTTAAATTATGTAACAAGGTACGAAATTTAATCCGGTTTGTCAACAAAAGCGGTAAATTTTGTAATATGTTTTGTCTCAGAAATCGGTAAATTTTCAATTTTCAGAATAAATATATATGAGTTTTCGTCCAATTTTAATCCAGCTATAAATATTTAAAGTAACACGGTGCGAAATTTAATCCAATATTTGACCCGTCAAAATAGTTGAATTTTTGAATATGTTTTGTCTCAGAAATTTTCTTAAATTTTTAACCCGTTTTGTCTCAGAAATCTTAAATTTTCAATTTTCAGCGAGTTTTCTTCCAATTTTAATTCGCCCCTGCTTCACAATTTTTTATCTTCACACACATCAACTATCTTTAAATCAACACCGGTACGAAATTGAATCCAATATTTAAAATCGTTAAATTTTTAAATATGTTTTGTCTCAGAAACCTTCAATTTTCAGAATTATCTATGAATTCGATACATAATATTTTAATTCGTCCCTGCTTTCTCTTCTCTTCTTTCCTGAATATGCATGAGTATTTGTAGTTCCTCTCGGATATGTTGACCTATTGTGAGATATTGATTCTTGTTTTTTTGTGTGCCACTGATAAAATTTTAATGGTATTGATTGCCCCTTCAAGATGAAAGGGGAGGAAGAAGAAGACTGCACAAATAATGCAGTTGCGTGTTATGTATATTCCCGTCTCACTTGGTGGACTGGCCGTGGACGTGGAGGAGCAGGAGATTTGATGGTGAGGCAACATGCAACAGTTCGGCTAGCTCCCTGACTCTGACTGGGACTGGGAACAGCTCGCCGTCAAGACCTTATCATCCCAGTGGTCGTCGTGGCAGTCGCAATCCTGCATGGGCAAAGTGGAATTGGCTGCGAGAAAGCTCTAGTGAAAGCAGAGTTGGTTTTCTTGGTGGTCGTGTTCGCTCTTTCATTCCACACACGGCCACTCTGCTGTATGTACTCGTATGTGGAGAAGGCTCGTATTAAATACAAAATAAATAATACATACGAAAACGCTTTGTATTTATGTGGCGTAAAGAAAGTGGTGGAGGAGAAGAAGGAGAAAGAAATGAGAAATTTCCTTGTATCAACAAACCCCAAAAGAGAACTTTTTCGGATTTTGGGGACTTTGTAGGTTTCACAATTTTGATGTTTTTTTTTTGTAGGTAGGGACGAGGTTTTTGTGAATGGGAGTGAATTAATTGTATTTATTGCATATTCAGAAATGTTGAATTACTCGGGTGTAGTCAGTGTTTCGTTTTTTGCGGGTCAAAATATTTGCAAAAACCATTTTCTTTTCTTGCCTGTATTTCTTGTAAGTGGTTACTTGCACCTGGAACACTGCTCATAGTTTCACTGTATACTTTAACTTTACATATGCCCACGCTCAATTTGTGCAGCCAAAAAATTATTTCAATCTTGAGAAACCCCCACGACATTCTTACTTACTTTTCCGTGATGAATGATGACAACTCTCTTCGAGATTTTAGTAACTTTTAGTATTTGGCTATCCTCTCATCGTCCAGAAAGAAGAGCTCTTAAGAGACGAAAGATAAACACGAAAAGTCAAAAATACATAAAGTGCATAATATGGATGGCTAGATTACTTGACTGGAATAAACTAACATACTTATTTTTCTTCTCATTCTGCCCCTTCCAGTGTTTCGCGTGAAAGTAACTACTTGCAAGAAATAACGGGAAGAAAGTGTTTTTTTGCAGCTATTTTGCCCTGCAAGAAATGCAAGGTGCAAGAAACTACGCCCCGATGCCATATTTCATATGGCGCATATTTTTTGCGCTTTTTCGCAGTTTCTTGCACCTCGCATTTCTTGCGTTTCTTGCTTTGCAGAGCAAAAAATGTAGCAAACCCGTAAGAAACGAAACCCTGTTCACATAAGATAAACTAAACTTTTGTCAAAATTTGAACATTGTAAAAAATGTTTACAATTTCTGAAAGCATAATTTAAACAGAATTTTTCTCTTTAAAAAGACGAATGTGAAACGACTTCCGGTCGAGGTGTATGTAGGTAGGTATGCATATCCATTCGTATGTATTTATGAATAATACGGTTGAAATGTCTGGTCTTGTTTAGCTCATTTTTCTCTCGACAGACAGGATTGGATTTCAAAGTGGATCTTGTAAAAGTCTCGTTCACTTTCCTTCTTTGGAGGATTGGGAATTGAAGGCAGGCAAGATTCAGATTCATGACGAGATGTACGTACATAAGTACAAGGAGTGGATGATATGTACAACAAAATACGGTTACACTAAGGAAGAATAAGCCTAAGCAAGAATATGTATGCGATGTGATCTACATAAATCCGGGAAGATGAAAAGGCATAATAACGAACAATAAAGAGGACGGATCTTGCCAAATCTTGCTTCTAACTTATTACTCACGAATTGGATTACTTACTTTTTATTACAGAGAAACATCATTTTTTCTAGTTCGAGTTAGGCCTTATGGAACCTTCATGCCCGTCTGTCTATCTCGCCAAAACTCAACCCATGTACATTTAAAGGGTACCCATGAAGCTAGTATGGGGCAAATGCATTGACGGCGGAAACAGGGGGACGGGAGACATTGCCCCCCTGCCCCAGAAATTAACCAAAATTATATCTTGCCCATCCTAATAAGCTCCACAATGTTAATGTCCGCCCCAACTTCCTCTGCCACTGCAAAGTCCGAAGATGAGCAAAATTGGCCGAAAAAGCGGAAATATTCCACGGAAATATTCTACGAAAATAGATTATCGGAATATTTTTGACGATGACAAATATTAGTTGGGTCATCCGACAAAAATGTAGAAGCGAACTCTGACCGACCCTGACTCGGGCCAAATAAGCACTAATGCAGACAGAGTGTATGTAGCAAATGTAGCTTTCTAAATATGTACATATGTCGACACCTCTTCGCCCACTCACAAATGAACATATTCTCAACTATCCGTGTATAATAAGCCCCAGTCTGTAAAAATCACGCTGAAGTGAAATGCAATCTCTGGAATTCTTGTCAATTAATCCAACACTTTCTCCTCCACGACGAGACATACTCTTAATTATTATTATGAGTTCCATCTCAATTCTCATTCACGATTGTAAGAAAGCAACTCTATTTTTGTTACAACTGCTTTCATCTCCTCCAAATTGGCTGACTGACTTTTGACATTCTTCTCCAACGCCCCCACATCATGCATGGGACGGGTGGATGTCACCTCTCCTTATGGATATGCACATAAAACGGAATGCTGATACACACATTTCTGCACACTTTCATTTTCACTTTCACCATCCGACGAGACACTTTCTCCCGTCGTGTCTACCCACCCACTCTCCCACCACATTTATGCTTTCTTTCATCCCGTGTCATCCCATCTTCCGTCGCTCCTCGCTCCCACTTTCACTCGGCCGAGAAGTCGGTGTGGGTGAAAATATTCGTATTCATCGATCGCCCACTTTCGCCTGCTTGCTTTCACTACACATGTAAATACCACTTGCTTGCTTTCACATACCACAACCAACCAACTACATCGCTTTTACCACTGAATTAACAACTGACACTCGCAAATCTTGTCTTTCTTCTCGTGTAATCTCTCTCACTCTCTGCCAATCCTAACAATATTATCGCAACAGGTCTTCACTGACGTCGCTACTTTTTATGCTTTCCCCTCAAATAAACAAATATTCAACAAGTCTTCCTCATTTAAATAATAGTACGGATTCGCTAAAAATTTCCATTTGTAATTGAATAAATAGTCTGATTTTGCTAAGAGGATGGAGGTGGCGTTCAGCAATTTGGGTAAGGTTTCGGAAGAGGAGGAGGAAGAAGAGGATAACCGAGGCGAGAGGTTGAGCAACGTGTTGGAGGACACGGTGATAAGCATGAGTGACAATAACGTCGTGACGACGATGACTGGAGAGGAGGAAAAACAGATGCAGTTTGACCAGGAGGACAGCGACATTTCCGACGCTATGTTAGACTCGTCGTCTCCAGTGTTCAAATGGTTGACAAAAATCACCGGGGTGGATTTGAGGATAAGATGTGACGTGTTTTTGGGTGAGTTGTGTATAATAAGTTAAATTTATGTATTTTTAAGTAAATGGCAATGAAATTTTGAATTTCAGAGCCTCCAAAGGTTCACTTGGACCTCACGCTGTCCACGGGACGGCACCTCTGCTTAGATAACCTCCGCCAGTGTTCAGACGATGCGATTGAAGACATCACTAAAAATAAGACCGTCATGGTCAGAACTTATAAAGGGAAGGATTTGCTTAAAATTAAGTGTACTCATGTAAGTCTGAATTTTAGCGTCGCACAAGAATTACTTCTTACACATAATGGAGGTCTCACAGAGTATGCTCTCGGGTTTTTACCGAACCAGTGTCAATCGATCGATGTCACGATCTGCCAATGATCAGATTTTGAAGAGATATTTTCATGAGAAGAGCAGAAAACATGCAGTAAATTAGGGAAGTGTAAATTTTGCCAACTTTAGGGTGCTGTAGCTGTTCGGATGCAACCTGCGCATCGGGAGATTGTGCCTGTCGCAAATTTCATACTAATTACATTTTTGCTCGATTGGCACTAAACAGTTTGCTCAAATCGGCGAGCATATGTTTGGAGACCTCCATTGTTAATTGAACCAAATAAATCCGACCGTTATCCATGAATTCCAGGACTCCAAAATATTTTCCGTAATGGAACCTCACTCTGATCAGCCTGTCTCGATAATGACTATTTCTCAAACCAGGGCAAGAATGGAAATCCACAATTTGGTGCAGGATGAGTGGTACTTTGTTGATCTGAGTAATCGACGCAGTAAACTTATTCTGGTAATTTTTCGGAATAATTTATTTCACAGATTTTTCAGGATTCTCACTATTTTATAATTTTATCCATAAAATAATTTTTGATTCCCATTTCAGTTGCGGTCTGAAAGTGGGTCCGAACTGGGAAGAATTGAAGGGTTTGGTGATTTCGAGCCGCAAAGTTCTTTCAATGGAAATGTCATGATTTTAAAACCTAAACTTAAATTTACTTGGGGATCAGACGTAGAAGGTCTGGACAATATTCAGAAGGCGATTTTGCTCAGCATTTTTATCGCATTGGTGAGAAAACGGGAAAAGCATTAATTTAATAATGGTCATGGAACTCTAGACTCGACGCCAAAATGGTCAAAATCAACGCATTTTTAAGCATTTCTCGGTTCTGGGAATTTGCTTTAAAATTCTAGACGACAAATTTGTAGTCAGTAAGTTGATTGATAGAATGGAAGCAAGTTATTTTTAATTACCCAATTTCGATGCGTTCCGATTTTTTCGAAGGTTTCCTAAACTTGAGATCTGTTTCAAAAACTGTCAAAATCTGGAGTGTATATTTTTAATAAAATTAGGAACGACCTGCTCTACAAATTTGTCATGCAAAATTATAAAATAAATTCTCACAGCTAAAAAATGACTAAAAATGTCCTGATTTTAACCATTTTGGCGACGAGCACTGGAGTACTACACACTTTAATTAATTTAGTATGCAAAATAATGAAACCCTTTCTTGCGCAGGGGTTAACGTTTGACGGGGACGTGAGGAAAACGACGGACGCCTTCAATTTGTTCGCCACCTTGACCATGGCCATCTTAATAATTTGTTCGGTCATGGTTTACCGCAACTCGGAGTCGTTCAAGGCGCACAGGAACTTAATATTTGTGATTAACTGTGTCGTACTGTTGTTCATACTGGGATTTTTGTATTTAGTGAGATGTTGTCTTCGTTGACAAACAAAAAACTATCATCAGAAACTTTTGTGAGTCAGTATTCAGATAAGTATTATACATGCAGAGAGAATTTGTAACAACATTTTCACATACATTTATGTACTATGCATGCAATAATGGAATGATGTCAAAAGTTATGCGTTGTACGAAAATAAACTGATATTTTTAAGCAAGTTAATGCAAATAACGGCTGGATTTGTTAAATTGTTTAAAATTGACTGCAGGAATTATGAACAAGACAAAAAATTATATATATTCCATAACAAAAGCAGTTTTATTACCACAATTACTGTCCGGATACAGTACGAATCTTAAAATTAGGAATATTTATCTATGCCTTGACAGCTTTTGTGGATTTGCGTCCCAATTTTGGCTCCGTGAATCCATTCCTTAAACGAGATAAAGGATTATTAATGTGTACGCATCAATTTAAACAAACATACGTCTTTAAAATCCGCATAATTAAATTCAACTCACTTAAATCGTCGTCGAACAACTTTAAGATAACGGATTCTGCCGGTTCCAGTGGTCTTCCTCCTCTTAGCTTTCACACTCCAGTTATCTATGCATAATCATAAATTAAAAGAAAAAATTAGCCCCTTGTCCACATAATTATTATATTAATAATCCATCCATGACTCCAAAAAGCTTACAGGAGCGCAACTTGGCCGCAGGATAGCCACACTGGGCGCACTGGGACTTTTGAATATGGTAAGATGAGCGACCACATCGACGACACAGAGTGTGCGTCTTATTACGGCGCTTTCCAAAACTTGACGTTCCCTTCGTCTGTAAAATTGTTAAAAAAAATTACAATCATTAAAACATTTTCTTTTCAATATTTCTCACACAAACTGTGTACAATTCCTAATTATTAGTAATACTACGTGGTACGTTTTACACATAACCTACTCAGTTAATTAAGACCAATTAAGAATGCTTTAAAAATTACTGGAAACTTACCATTTTTAACGAGAGATTTTATCCTCGTCTGATGATAGAATGCGGTTCTGTGCAGAAAGATGTGAGCGAGAGGAACACGCCGACTTTTCAGGTTGAAATTGGTGGTGGACTGCTCCGTGGTATTGCTCGGGGTGAAATAAGGTGGCGCTGTCGGTCTCACTTTTGGCAAATCACCACCACCACCAGAGTCTCAATCTGCCTCTTTCTCACCTTCTCAATGGTGAGACATAGATGTGAGACCTGCGTGACACTGACTGACTAAAATCAACTGGGGCAGTGTGAGAAATTTCTTTATCTCAGAATGGATAATGCATGCACAATTTGCATGCATTATAATAAGTCTAAATGAACAACCTCTGTCCCATTCTCACGATTCTCACAATAAGGTGAGACTAGCTGACTAAAATATCATCTGGGGGATTGTGAGAAATCTCAAATCTCTTTCTTTACCTAACAATCCATAATCCATGCAAATACGTGTAACTTTACTATTAGTTTTCTTACATGGGTTAATCATCGCCAAAGTCTCAATTTACCTCATTCTCAGTGTGCCTGAGACTAGCTGGCTAAAATCAACTGGGGGATTATGAGAAATCTCTAGTTTTTCACTTTGCAATATATAATGCATGTAAATAGGTACGTCTAAATAGGCGGTTCTGTCTCATTCTCACCTTGATGCACAAAGTAATGTGAGACTAGCTTATTAAAATCGACTGGGGCATTGTGAGAAATCTCAATTTTTTCACCTCACATTCAAATACGTGTAAATGAACAGTTTTATGCTGCACAATTGTTTATTTAGTCAGGAAAAGTGATGAAAGGTAAAATTTGCCAATTATACATAAACTATGTAAGTAAATCATGTAAATCCAAAAATTAATATCTCTTTTTGCACCAAAAGAATAATGATTACCGTTTTGCAAACGGAGCAAAACTTTTCGTGGAGAGGTAATACGTTCCAGAAATTCTGAAAATGGAGATATGTTCACAAGTAGTAAAGTAAAATGCAAGAAATCTTAATTTATTTTAGAAATTACGTTTTGGGAACATATTCTCCCATAAGGACGCCATTAGTTTTCGGACATGATCCTTGAAAATCAGCATAACTCGTGCATTTATAAGCTTTAAAGCCCACCGTGGTCGTGACTGATTCCTGGTAATAAATGTAAGCTCGGGAATGGCTGCACAAGTTTAGGACTAAAAAAATGTATGCTTATTATTTTACAAAATATTTAAAGTATTCATGAAGAAATTGATGACTAATCTCCAAAATTATAAAAGTCAGCACATTTTAAATTATTTCTCGGCTCTGAGAATTTATTTCGAAATTCTGGGCGACAAATTTAGTAGTAGTTCCCAGCTTAAAAAAATATAAACTCCAGATTTTGACAATTTTTGAAGGAGATCTCAAGTTTAAAAAGCCATCAGAAAAATTACTGGCTTACTTTATTTAAGAAACTTCACCACCATTATATTAATCGACTTACTGACTAAAAACTTGTCCAGAATTTTAAAATTGTGTCGATTTTGGTGATAAGTCATCAAGTTCTGTGCTGTGTTAACCCCTAATAAACTGGAAAATCTGCATATTTATTTACCCAAATCCAGACATCCTGGCTGTTTAACTCCACCATTTGGATAAAAGTCGACCGTTCCTGCGCCGGGAGGGTCGGCAGTGGTGGACGTGGACCCAGCACCGGTCGAAGTCCTGATGACATCGACAAAATCAGCGTCCGTGGGGTCCAGCCGTTCGCTCGGTGAGGTCGTGGCCTGCTCGAAACCAGGTCGAGCAGGGTCTAGTCCAGTCACTCTAGGAATTTTGTCTCCGTTGTCCAAATTGGGCGTGATGAAGGCACCAACTTGTCCACCAAGAGAATGCCCTTCAAATAAAGGCATATCAAGCGAAATTTGGCATAAAAACCATGCAGATTTATCACGGATTGACAAAATATAGCATTTCGAGCTCAGTTTTTCTCACGGGTTTGGATTTCCAAAAATCAAAAAGTCGAGAATCCACATAGACAATACAGGAATTATGATCCATTTTGTGAAGAAATTAACTTTTTATCGTCGTCAAAATACTTCATTTTTAGAAAATCGTGAAAGCAAAGCAATACATCTTGACCGCGATAAAAACTTAATTTCTTCACAAAATGTGTGTTTAAATTAGTATTATGACTCTTTTTGTGAGTGTAATAGCCCCGGAAATCCGTATTTTGGCCATCCCTGAGATTTATATGTAAAATCATCTCAAATATACCAATGAAATGGAAATCTGCGAGTTGCGACTTTCCCAGCACGATCAACGTCTTCATCAAGTTTGCAATTTCTTTCCCGACGAGGCGAGTGTTTGCAAAGGCTGCGTCGTAGCCGCCCGCCAGCGAGGATAGTTCCCCCCAGTCGACCGCGATAACATTGTAGTTTGAGGGGCTCGGAAGGCTCAAGTAAACTGGAAGAAATCCCACAATTTTCTTTCGTGTGTAATAAAAATTGTATTAAAATGTTTCCGAATTTCTCACTATTTTTAAGATCTCTCGGAAATTCTGCTGTGTATGACGAAGTGTACCCGTGACAAAGGAATTTGACTGGTTGACCAACTACAAATGCAGAATTGTTGATGGTATTTGCATCACTTGCTTTAATTTCAACCGCGTTTGTATTTCCTCTGTGGGTGAAAATTATTATAAATATTTTTTATACTAATATAAATAATTTTGTATGTTATGCAGAGATGGGCATTGTACAGTATTTTGAGCAGACGCACGAGAATACAGGTTTTGTGACGAAGTTAATTTTTCATTTGTCAAAATTCATGGTTTTCACGATTTTTTTAAATAAATAAAGTATTTTGTCAGGATAAAAAGTGTATTTCTTCACAAAGCCTCTATTCTCGTAAGACTGAAAAATACAGGTTTAGACTGCTATTTTCAGAATTTTCTCCATGCAGTTTCTCGTTTATTTGTGGGTGTTACAATCCGAGAAATGCAAACCCTGAGAAGAACGGAGCTCAAAATACTGTATTTTGGCAAAGTCTTTTGCCCACCAGTCACCAGTAGAAAAAATTATTATGTATGCAAATCTAAAATTGAGATTAAGGACGCTTACTTAGTGTACAGATAGAAATGCAGCCCTGCCAAGTCTCCCTGAACCCGGGCAACAATCGTGGTCGTTACCAGGACCGATAAAATTAACCTTGAAACCATAATATTTAGCAAAGTCAGGCAGTAATGTAATGAACTCTAAATTTTATCTCAAAACAGTCAAATGGCCAGCTAACGATAAATATTCAGATATTACTGGCTACTTTAGTCTGCAAGTGTTGCCCTTTATACAAAAAGTTCCAACGGCAAGTGTTGCATGACAAGTTTGACGTTGGTGATTTACGAGAATGTATAATAAATGAGTTAAAATATATTAAATATGTATAGCAAATACGGATACGGAGTTGACATCTAGTCAGTCTTATATACCATCCCAGTTCTATTGATTAATGTCTATTGACGTTCTTTTGAGCAATGGACTAAAATAGTTTAACCATCTAAAAATGCATATATATACGTAGTACATTCATATATCTATATTTAAAAAATGCTTATGTACATATGTATCCCGTCAAAATTTTTGATTTATATTCATCTAACAATGGAGGTCTCCCAACGTATGATTTTGACCAAATTACTAGTAGTGTCAATTGATCACAAATTTAATTAGTATGTGGACACGTAACTAAGTGAATTTCAGGACCTTGATAAACTCCATGAAAAAAAATCAGGACCTTGCATCATATGTAAACCCGGATATAAAATTCGGATTGAATTACTAAAATATTACTAAAATAAATTAAAATGTCAGACCCCCAACTTCCAACATCCTATGATGAATTACTCGCCAAGTATAAACAACTTCTGGAAGAGAATTCCACCCTAAAAAATCTAGTTAACTCGAGTCGTTCAGAAAATGCTCTCGTCACCCGAGAAGACCAAAGCGTCACCATTCTCGACGTGTCCGCCCCACTGGGAACCGTTGAACCTGTCCCCACCTCTCCTCACCCATTCCTCCTTGAACCGATCCTCCGTCATTTGAGCGTCTTCTTGGACTATGCCTCCCTCCACGCGTGTCGTCAAGTGTGCTCCTCCTGGTACATCTTCATGACCACGGCGTTCCTCAAAAGGTCCAAGATTGTCATGCAGTTCAATCGCGACGTTAGACCAGTCCCACAACGACGCCTACCTCGAACACCAATTCCAGGACCTCTACAACCACCCCAACAAGAAGACGCGTTATGGTTAGATTCGTCCGATTCAGACGAAGAGTTTTTGCACGGGTGGAGGACGATTGATAACCTGGGAAAAGTTTATCCGTACCCGATCGTCACAGAGGCGGAATTGGCCCTCAAAGAGATCACGAGACCAGAAGGCAGTTCAACTTTCAGGCAACTTCGGAAGTTCTATTGGGAGTCTAAAGCCAGATTGTGTTCGAGTCAGAGTGAATTAATACCAAGTAAAATAAATGCCACGGAGGAAGAGGAGGACACGAATGAGGACGCCATTCTTTCCTTCGATCTCGGCCTGAATTTTGACAAAGATCTCCACATCCCGTCCCCACCCGTTCCGGAAACGTTAGAATTGGTCGGATTCAACTGTCCGAGCGGGTGGTTGAAGACGTATGGCTACCTCGTGAAAAATCTGTCCATAGATTTTGGGAATTTTCAGAGAAGAGAACGATTTGGAGAGGTGGAGCCGTCTGTTCTGGTTAGATTGCTGAAGGAATTCTGTCCAAATGTGGATTCTCTAGTGGTGCAGAAGCCAACTTATAATTTGGGGCAGAGTTTGGTCCGAGGGGAGGATGGAGGTCCGTCACAGGATGTGTTGTTACCAGTGGTGGGTTAAATGCTTTTTTTAAATGCAGGACATACCCTCAAAAACGACAGTCATACAAAAATACAGGTTTTGTGAAGAAATTACAAGATTTCAACTCCGTCAAAATACATTATTTTCATGATTTTTTAAATAAATAAGATATTCCGACAGGGATATATACAAAGTACATTTCTTTAAGAACCTTGTATTTTCGTAAATAAGACTGTTGCATTTTCCATGCAAATTCTCATCTTTTTGTGGGTGTGACAGCATCGGAAACACAAACTCTGGGATGAACGTAGCTCAGAACACTGTATTTTAACAAAATATTTGCCCCCCTTTTCGCAGTTACCGGCGGTAAACCTTATGGCGACGGCCCGATTCGAAAACATTTCCACCCTGTATATCAACACGTACCGTTCCGACCGAGCCCAATGCGTGGCTGAGCTAATCGGAGCCACCCCGAATGTAAAGCACCTCACGCTTTCCATGTTTTCCTTGTCGCCCGAAGCGGAAACGCAGTACGTGGAAAGTGCCCATCACGCCGGATATTTTCAGCATTTGGAGACGTTGAAGTTTCCACAAGGGATAAAATCAACGACGCTCTTGTTCCTCGTGGGGATCGAGTTTACTCGATTGAAAGTCCTCGCGCTGGGCAAGATTCGCCAAACGAGATGGGTTCGAGGACCAAACCAAGCTCCGGGACAGCTCATGGCCCTTGTCGACCCTGGCACGCTGGCCGAATTTATGCAAACCATTTCAAGTGCGTATTTACATACATAATTTACATAATCCTATGAATGATGCCTTAACGTAGGACTCGTCACCAAAATCGTCAAAATCAACACATTTTAAATCATTTCTCAGCTTTAGTAATTTATTTTAAAATTCTGGAAGACTAATTTGTAGTCAGTAAGTTGCTTAATGGAATAAATTTTCGCTCCAGGCACGCTGGAAGACCTTTCTCTCAACGTCAATCTCTCAAACCCCAACGAAATCGGGGTCACGTTGAACGCCACGTCGCTCCCAGTTATGCCGTATCTTCACCGTTTTGAATTTAAATACACTCAGCACGAGTTTACCGATAGCTTCGCCTTTCTCGATAACCTCCCAACGCTAACAGACCTCAATTTAAGCGGAGAAGGGACAAATTGTGATATAATCATTAAAAAACTCTTGCCCGACAGATTTTACGGTGTAAACGATTCGCTCACCTGTCTCAAACTGACCAACTTTCCCGTCGACTTTCCCTCCATGACGAAGCTCGTGCGCACTTTTCCTCGCCTCGTCGTCCTCCACGTGGTGCTTCCGCTGTGTTCCAGTGATCCTGGAAACACAAACGTGCGACGACCCCTGAGTCGGTATTTGTTCAAGTTGAGGAAACTGACAAAATTGGAAGAGCTCAGAATCCTGTGTAGCATCGTGGAAAGGGACGATTTCAGCTATTCGATAGGATTCTGTTTAAGATACATGCGGGGTATGAAAAACTTAATTTGAGTTAAAAATACGTCTCGTGTGTACGGATTTTAATTTCTTTTCCAATATGCCAGCTCTCAAACAGTTCGCCTTCCACAGTTTGAAAACCGTTCCGAGATTGACCGCATTTGCAGTGGACATGGGTTTTGGTAAGGCTCCTGCCCTCCTTTCCGTGGAGCTGGAGGATTTCATGGTAAATTCCCACAATTTTCACAAAATGTAACATTTACAGAGGACGGATATGTATTTAGAAAAAATCGCTGAAATATTCAAAATTGTGTATGAAGAAAAACATTTAAAAAACAAGAATTTTCGAAAAATCGTAAAAATACTTACAAAATAAGTATACAAATTTGTATGTAAGTATTTTTAAACTTTTTTAAACGTTTAGAAAAAATATCTAAACGATTTCGTATTTTTTAAATAATAGCGGAAATATTTATAAATATATCGAAAAGCCTAAAAATATGTAGAAATATGTAAAAAAAAAAAATATTTTGAAATTTTTGTGATCTATTCGAGTTAGGGAGCACACACACACAGTTTGACCGTCGGTCGTCATCCAATGAAAAGTTGAATATAAATATACATACTGAATTTAATTAATTTGCAGATTTACGAAGAGGACAAAGCCCAAATTGAGGCCTCCCTAAAAAAGAAACTTCTTCACGCCAAGCTAATCAACTGTTTGATAGTTTCCCCCTTAAAAAATATGGACCCACCGACCTCTCAGCGTTATCAAGACGCCTCTTTTTTCCGACGGGAGGTCGACTCCACGGAAAAGTGGAGCTTCGTGGTACAAAAGTATACGGATTTTACAAGTCTGGGTCAGCCTAGAAGCCTCAGCGACACGGGTCCATTCAGCAGTTTGTCGTTCTCCACGTCTGACACGGAAAGTTTGGAATTTGCGATTGCATCATTTTAAGAAAATGTATCTATAATAAAGTATAACATTTGTTTTGCATACTTATTAAACCGCCAGCCGATAATAAATGTCGCCCTCGTACTATTTACCTAATCATGACTACGATTTTTATGTTAAACTCAGGATCTTATGTCTTATTCATTCACTTGCTTGCTTTTCACTAGTGTTTCGTTTCTTGCGATTTTTCCGCATTTCTTGCCCTGCAAAGCAAGCCACGAAAAAAATGCGAGGTGCAAGAAACTGGGAGAAAGTGCAAGAAATATGCGCCATCCAGCCACCCGCGATATGAATTGTAGCGGCGGAGCGTAGTTTCTTGCTCCTTGCATTTCTTGCAGGTCAGAATCACGATTGCTTGACTTTAAGTATCTAGGTAACGTTAGTCTCCCTTAAGGGTAACTAGGCACTAAAAGTCAAGCAATCGTGGGTCAGAATATTAGATACATGGGGCAGCCATGGACATATAACTTATAACTTAAAATTATGACGTATGACGCATTTTATAAGTTATAAGTCATAGAAACGCCATAAGGCGACGTATACTTATAAGTCAAGTTATACGTCATAAGTTTAAGTTATAAGTTTTGCGTCCATGGCTGCCCCATGTATCTATTTACCTGCAAGAAACCACTCCCGTTATTTCTTGCAAGTGGTTACAGATATTTACATCCACGCGAAACCCTGCTCCTCATATTTTTCAGCAACTTTCCGTTATTGATGATGAAGGAAGAAGAGCAGCACGGCAACAAGTTTGATGATGATGAGTGAGGGTGAGAATATCATATGCATGCTCACCTATAACAATACCAAATAACTCACCTGTTGATATGTATGCATCTGGTAAAATAAGGTGGTTGTACATAAAGGGTGAAGACGAAGAAGGGGTTTGTTACCTGTATGGCAATTGCATATCGTGATCATCCTGACGTCGACGACTTGGACGAGGAAGGGTAGGCGAGGGGTTGGTTGTTATGTTACGCTTGTGCTTCTTGCGTCTTGTCATGGAATAGCAATCCGTACAAGATCGCTCATATATGGCGTCTTGTTATATTTATTACCATCACTGCGCGTCTGTGGGTATTCAGCCTCGTTAGAAAAATCCTTCTTCTTCTTCGTGTGCAAGGAAAAGTGGAATTTGAATTCCTTTAAGTAAAACTACTTCTACTCCACTTTAGTTCAAGTCTGTTAGCACGACGGAGAGGAGAGAAACGCGGCAACAGAAATAGTGTTTTTATGCAAATTAATAAATATATAAAATTTCATTTAAGCAAATTATTAAGCCAAATTTTTGGCTCATCTGCAAAATAATTTGATACACCTTTGCAAAATTTTGCCAAAACGTTTCTCCGCAATTTTTAGCCCCCAAAATAAAAATAAAATTACGACAGGAATTTTGAAAAATTGTTCATCAATTTCTGAAGATTTGTTGACCGAAGAAAATAAAAGGGCGAAATTCCTCTTCCCGACTGGTCAGTTGGCTTTATTACATTCACGGTTTTAAAATCAAGACTGGTTTTCATAGGTATGTGATGCACGACGAGTACGCAAAGTGTGTCCCCCAATATTAATAAAGGTAGTGAGTGGTTCGTTCTTGTGCATTGTTGTGCATTGTGTTTCGCGTCTATATCTTTTAATTCGTGGTTGGTTGTTGCGGTGTAGTGGATTGAGGATACGAGATTAAATATTTGACAGTGCAAGTGTGTCAGTCAGCTAAAAGCTGAGAAGCTATTGGAAATGGGGACCTCGAAGATCGAGTATGTCCACAGTGACCAGCTTATCGCGGCCACCTACGTGAAAAATGCGAAAGGTAACAACAAATTCGCGGAGGCATACTTTGAGTTCTATTCTTTCCAGGGTTGTTACACCCACAAAAAGACGAGAATCTACGTAAAGAGACAGCAGTCAGTCGAAAATATAGGTTTTGTCAAGAAATTAACTTCTTATCGGTCAAAATGCTTTATTTATTTCAAAACTCGTGAAAATAATGCATTTTGACTGCGATACAAAGCTAATTTCTTCACAAAAACCTGTATTTTCATAAGATTGTTGCATTCTCCACGTGGATACTCGTCTTTTTGTGGGTGTAACATACCCTGGAAATCCAAACCCTGGAAAGAACGCTGTAAAAAATACTGTATTTCGACAAAGTATTTTGCCCACGTCTGCAAATTCTAGAAACCAAATTACAAAAATAAGCAATCACTAATTTGCATGTATCCTTAATTTTCCAGCGATCGGCTTCCTCTGGGGGATATTCAGCATTTGCTACTCCATAATCACCGTGGTCGTCTTTATCCAGCCGCAATGGATGGGCACGCGGTCACCCGGTGGTTCTGGGTACTTCGGTCTGTGGCGGCATTGCGCCGTCGCGTCGGTAATGACGGATCAGTCGACAAGTTCGGAATTCATTTGTCGTGGACGCCTCGACGATTTTTCTTCCATTATTAACCCCGCCTTCAGAGTGGCGACCGTCTTCATGGGACTCGCCACGCTGATCGCGATCCTCTCCGTGTTTGCGTTGGTGCTTTTCATCTGCGCCCCGGCGAGGCAAAGCTACTTCATTATTGCGATGATGCAGACAATTGCGGGTAAGTTGTGGGCACTTTGTGATTATGTATTGTGCGAAAAGTAGGTATGATGCAGACAATTGCGGGTAATTGTGTGCAAAATTGTGTGCAAATTTTGTGACTATTGTGCATGCGTACCGTGGTTTTCACCTTGGTGGTGGAGTCTTAAAGCAAGAATTATTAATTAGCAAGGGAGGACACCCACACTGATTTTTTGCAACATTGGCGTGATTTCCGCTAATTACGGTGGGCAAAATTGTGCGGGAATTTGCGATTATTGTGCGTAAAGTACATAGTTTCGTGATGTGTAAGCGAAGAATTATTAATCTTGAGGGAGACAATTAGTTAGTTGATGGATTGATTTTTTTCTGCAACATTGGCGTGATTTCCGCTAATTATTGTTGTCTATCTATCTACGCACCACAAATTGTGGCGTCGGAAACGTGGCGATTAACGAGCTCGTGGCGTGGCTACAAGGCGTGATTTGACATTATCAAACCTGCGTATCAGGCACAAATGGATGCAAAATGCTAAAATTCATTAATTGGTTTCGTTAAGAGAGGTGTGTTCACGAGACACGTTTGATTTTCATGAGATACGGAAGTGGGACCCTGTGCAAAGTGGCGCCTTGATTGTTACTCTGTGCGAATAATGCGCAATACGAATGACCGCAACAGGTGCACTGCTAAATGCAGAAAATTGGGGTATGCAAACAAACAGTGGTCGAGAATGAAGTAATAAATACACTTTTTGCCGTAAACTTTAAGGAAAATCTGGATTTAGTTTAAAACTTAACCACAATAAATTACCGTCTGTCTTGCTAAATATATGTGTTGCTAAATATTTTTTTTGGGAAAATTAGAAAATTGAGACATTTTCCTGCCAATAAAGTTTTTTTAGGTTCGGTAATATTTTGAAAATGTATGTAGATTAGATCGAGCTTCTTAATTAACGGCGACAAATTCTCCTGAAAATCCCTTAATTCGAGATACTCAATAATGCAAATGGTGGCAGTTATACAAGCAAAATTCAAATTTTACAAATGTGCCACACACACAGGTAGCTTGCACATATGTAACTTTGCAAAAAAAAGGGTAAGCATGCAATTTCCTGTTTTCCTTTGGCCTCTTCTTGACATTTAGATTGCATACATTACACAAGAATTAAATGCTTCTTGCTACTGTACGTAGTTTATAAAATGATATATAATAATTACCCATTCAGACACTAGTTCTCCCCCTCTTCTGCATTACATTACATTATACGACCAACTTTTTAATACGTAATTCACAAAGGAAATGGCAGCATCCCTCTAAAAAAATACATGCATAATAACGTCTCCATTTACTACCTGAGCCTCCTGTTTGCTAGGATTTTATCATTACCTTTACTCATTTAATGTGTGAATGTTTCATTAAAGTCAAGCAACACAGACGCCATAAACTCATCATTTTGAGCCTGCTTCGTTGGCGAATGATTGATCTTGACTACATGAAGGATGTATTTCTTGGCGTTATAAAAACAAAAAAAAGTTTTGCCAGAAATAATGAACGTTCGTTCGTGTCGCTGCGAATTTTACATTGGGTTGGGCGTGACATTTTCATATTAGTTTTGTCCCGATGATATGAACATGCAGCAAGAACTGTAAGGTCACCCAATGCAATGGATGGATGTCATATTAAATAAATATCATGTTTTTATATCCCTTTAAATTTCTTGCCAATCCAGGAATTAATTTGAGGTATGTACACATAAGATTTCATTTTTTCTCGCATGATCCATCTTCCCTGAAATACTTTGGTAAAGTATTATTCTAATCCATTCATGTGAGAATAATATTATTGCAAAATCCTTAATTTCACATGCCCATGACTTTAACTAGGTATGTATAAGGCGAAAAGCAGCCTGTATTTCCCCTAAAATATATACTTGTTGGAGTCAGTGTTTCGTGTGGAAGTAACCACGTGCAAGAAATAACGACAAGAAAGTGGTTTATTGCAGGTATTTTGACCTGCAAGAAATGCAAGGCGCAAGAAACTGCGCCCCGCCGCTATAAATACTTCACACGGCGCTTGGCTGGATGGTTCATATTTCTTGCACTTTCTCCCAGTTTCTTGCGCCCCACATTTCTAGCGTTTCTTGCTTCGCAGTGCAAGAAATTTATTTCGCAAACCCACAAGAAACGAAACACCGACAACACCACACCACATGGAAGAAATACTTTCTTGCACCTTGTATTTCTCGTGCTTCGGGCTTTGCAGTGCAAGAAATGTGGCAAATCCGCAAGAAACGAAACCCTGGTTGGAGTATCATTTAGCCATGACTCGCTTGCTTGTGGTCTGGTCTGGTCTCTTCTTTTTTCTGCAATCTTATGATACATACACCTTTGCAATAATAATAAATCCTTGTTTTGTTGGTTTATGCATTAAAAGTAGAATTTCTTGAGATTATTACGTACTCACAAAAAGTTAAACTTATGCATTAAATTACTTATTCTCCTCAACCAACCAAACTAAATAAGTATACTTACATTTTTGGGTAAACCATTACTATCATTGCAACCATCACTATATCCATCCACCAAGTATAATTCGCAAAATTCACCATTTTTGCAAAACTGCTATACCGCGGTAGCTGAAGGGAAACTAATTACAATTCAAATTTCTAAAGTTTTCTGTGCACGAAAAATAATGAATGAGATGAGCGCAAGCGATGGTAAATGTGATTTTAAATAGGTGTGACAAAAAAATGGCGAAAAAGCCAAACCATAATTTGAATAAGTAATACCGTGAGTTATTGTAATTTAATAATGTTTATGAAGTAATCAAATGTGTTTGCATTTCATTATTTTTTTGAGGGGAAAGAAAGAGAAACTGGTTTTAACGTTTTTAAGGACAATGAAATTATATGTACCTGCGTCAAGAAATAATTTGCTAATTTTTTATTTAAAGATGTTGACCATTTGTTCTCGTAGCCATGAAATTGGTGAATATTGTGCATATTTGTAAAGACCAGAGGGAGGATATGTATTTATTTTCAAGTTTTTTATTTGATGATGACCAACGGTCAAATTTTGTGGGTATTTTCCCTACCTCTTGCAGATCACATAAATTTCGAAATATTTCAAAATATTGTTACATATTTTTATGTTTTTCATTATCGATATTTAGAAATATTTCCGCTATTACTGAAAAAATATTTTAGATATTTTTCAAAAATACACATATTTTGTAAATATTTCTATGATTTGAGGCGATTTTTTTCATGGAAATTTGACCTAAAAAAATCCAGAGCAATTTTGTGAAGATTCTTATTTTTACGATTTTTTGGTACATATTTCGTAAATAGTTTGTCACTTCTTCATAAATATTGAATATATATTTCAGCGATTTTACATATCCGCCCTCTGATAAATACTGGTCGCAAATATTGTGAGGAGTAAATTTGTGCGCACCTTCATGAATTCTAATCCGTCATGGACTCCTATTCAATTGGATAATAATAACTATAATAGAATAATACGGCTCCAACCAATGACAGCGATAAGTATTCAACTTTTGCTTTCACACATGAAAAATCATCATCTCTTTCGCAGCACCCATGATGGTTTAATAATTCGATTTCAATTTCATTTTTAGGCAAATCTCACGATTTCCTTTCTATTTTTAGTAAGCAATTACTTACCTACAATACTTGGGGACATGAAAATGATCGTAAAAAAGGAATGTAAAATGACTCTCGTCATTTTTGCATCTGTCGCCAAATTCCATTTCATGTAAGCAAAGCAATCTCTCTCATCGTCAATGTTTGAAAGAATGTCATTCATGACGACAAGGATGACGGGTAAGTATGTAAAGTAGTCTCATCTTTGAGATCTACATATAAACAAACAAGTCAAATGAAAATTATTATACTTGACTTCAAAAAACTAAGATTGCAATTGCAATTTGCTTTGCAAACCAAAAAGAAGGCAAAAATAATTAAATATCGTCACCTAACTGGGTGCATATCTAGGTTTTCCAACAATTATAACTAAACTATGTACATACGACATTGGGTGCGTGTTTGTTTGATGATTTAAATACTTTTCATGAGCTCAAGGTCTAATTTTGTCAACTTCTTAAATAATTTTGGGTTTTTAAGGTTCAGTTAATTTTAAAATGGAAATATGAAACTTATCTATTTGCATTTTAAATACGGAGCTGAACTACAATTAAGTATGTACCTGAAAACTGCAAACTCCTGCTGTTTTGATGAAGGATGAACACAAAGAAGGGTGGATATTTGTCGAGCTGTTTAGTTACATCGGGACGATAAGAAGGAATAAAAATGAAACTGAAGGTTTTTTATTTTCATGTCTGAAATGAAATCAATGTCACTTTCTGCAATGAGATGAAGGATTGTTTCACCAGTGACCATTTTGTCAGTCATTCCGTCACGTTTGTGTCAATCAGAAACAAATTGTTGCTGCTGTTGCATTGATAAATCAAGTTTAATTACATATTTCGTCACGGTCCGTCACTGACTGATGTGATTAAAATTAAAATAATGGACAGACTCGAAAGTAAATAATGCAGCGTTAACCTTGGATTTTTGAGGAATTCTTTGTACTTGTGTAGAAATTGGTGACATTTTAGTCTTGAATTTTCGAGCAACTAATCCGAAATTTGCATATTTTGTGATGGATAAAATATTATGTTGGATCCGGTTGGATTTGACACTCATGTTGGCCACTTAAAGTAAAAGAATTTGAAGATGGGCCTCCTCCTCCTCTTCTTGGGATGAAGAAAGGAAGGGAAAGTGGGTCAAATCGTTGCTGTATAATCGCATTTATGTATTAACATTGCAAGTATTAAGTATATGTCGTGTGTCTATGTATGCAAGCATGAAAATAAGCAGGACAACATGGATGGCTTTTAATTTTCATAATATTTTAATGGGATAAAGTGCCTGAGTTACTTTTGTGCTATTGAACCTTATGATCACGAGATGCAGTGTTTTAGTCGGCCGGCTATAATTACATGTGTACAGTTTAAACTTATTCATAAGATGGATAGGATTAATTTTTTTGTAAAGAATTTTTATGGACTTTGATAAACAATAATTAAATATGATACATAAATTTGCTCGTTTTTACCCACAAATTGGACCCCCAAATTACTTGTTAACAATTTATTCTGACAATGGAGGTCTCCCAGCCCAGCCAATGATTTTGACCAAATACTGACCTGCCACTACTCAGGTTTGGTAGAGAAATCTTCATCTGAAGAGAAGAAAATGCCCAGTAAATTTGGAAAGTATAAAATTTGTCAACTTTAAGGCACATTTTCTTTTCTTCGGATGCAAACCTACGCATTGGCAGATCGTCTCTTTTGCAAATTGCATATTAATTAAGTTTATAACCGATTGACACTATTGGGTCAAAATCGGGGAGCATACGCTGGGAGACCTCCATTGCGTGATAAAAATAATAATTATGGAAAATCCATCTAAATAATCGATTAGAATGGAATTTATTTCGCAGTAATTTCAACCTTGAACTGATAAATAAATCATTGGCATGCAAAAAAACTGAGTTACTTAATATGTAACAAAGTCAGATTTACAATTTCGATTGTCAGCAAAACATTACGTATTTTTATTCCGCTGCTCTTCTGGTACCAAGTAAATAGCATTTCTTACCAGCAGAACAAAATGAGTGGGTGGGTGTGGCACCACCACCAATTTTGCTCCACTCATCTGGCTTAACCCACGAGAAGAGATTGAATTGAATACAAACAAAACCAAGAATGTAATCCTTCTTTAGTGTACAAAATCCTGAACGATTCGCATCGAACAATAGGCAGCGAGACGAATGAATGACTTTTGACTCATTTCATGGGCTGTGATTTCAATAGCGAATTTGTGTCCCTTTGCTGTGTCACGATCCTTTATTCTGCTCAATGCAAATCCTACACGGAAAAATGTATCACTTTCCGTCCTTCTCAAAAGCATTAAACTGAAAGAAAAAGCTGCATTTACTTAATTATTCGTCGTCCTAATCTGGAGTAGAAATGGTCACGTTGTGCCATTGTTTTACATATTTACATACGCAATTCTAATTAAAGTGGGAGAGCGATAATTACGCCAAAATCTTAATGGTCAATGGTAAATGTAAGTCACGATGATACATAATCAAGTCCTTGATTAACGTAAATAAGATAAAAATCAAGGAGCGAGATTTTGAGGAAAATTCACTTTTTTTCTTAATTCGTAGAAAATAGTGAGTTTCTATTTTTACAAAAAAATGTATGTAGATGTCCAGTTATCAAAAAAAAGTGTGTGCATTTTTGCTGTTATGCGGTTTCAAATGGTTGCTCACACGGTGCTAATAAGATTTTGAGTGAGTGATACTTGCAAAATTATGCTCTGATGCTTAACCCTGCGTACACAATTAAAGTTACATTTATAAAGTTATCAAGTCAAGTTAATAATGTTCATACCTTGGTTGTGAATTCTCATAATTTTCTGATCTTTACTTTACCCCGACGAACCAATTATTTTGACGAGAATCAGATGAGATCTTCACATTTTATCAGAAATTTCGCTTTTTTTGCGCATTTTTACTTATTTGATGCGTGGGCAGGCGTTTTATTTAATTTTCATGCGGCTGCCAGTTATACTTTTGTGTGTAGATAAGGACTCATCATTGTTACGTTCGTTCTTGTTGAGCAGTTCTGATTCTCATCCTCGTCTCATCTTATTCATCGTGGTTCTCGATCCTTCGTTCTGGTTCAAGGCGTGCGTTCTTTACAGACAAAAGAGAAGAGTGAGAACCATGTGGGGATGTGTTTTATATGTTTTGTTACCAAAAGATAATAATAAATAGAGATGTGATTAGGAAGAGAATGGATGAATTAACTGCGTCAGAAAAGTAAGAAAATACCTTTCTACAATTATTTAACTAATATTTGTGCAAAAAAACTGTATAAAGACGTCGAATCTGGTCAAAATTAAAAACAATAAGGGAATTAAAAGTTTTATTAATTAGTAAAAAAAAATAGTTGAAGAATTATAATTTGAATTATTTTACTGAAATTGCAGCAATACGCAGAAGAGTTAGAATTTAAGTTTCCATAACTTGTTTGCCTAATTTTGTAAAAAAAACTGTAAAGACGTCAAATTTTAATCCTTGCTTTAAAAATTAAAAGATGTACATATATATCAGTGAAAATTTAAATTATAATAATCTGAAAAATTCATAAATAATTTATAAATTATTCTTACTTAAATTTCATCCATACGCATAGGAGTTACAATTATCTTACCTTCATGCGACAACCAAGACATCTATTTAATTCAATAACATAACATTTTTTCAAAAAACTGCATAAGGACGTCAAACCCAACAAAATTAAATTGTATAAAAGTTTTTTAACTTTAAATTTTAAAAAAATACAATTTCAAAGATTTTCTTTTAAATTTCAGCTATATTTATTCAAATGAGTTAGAATTAATTCACTTCTTATAAATAGCTCACATTCCCTTCTATTCCTTCATCTATTTAATTATATGACAATATTTTTTTGTACAAACTGCACGAAGATGTCAAATCAAAACAAGGAAAAAATGTGCAAATTGAATTTATATGTTAAAATAAAATTTTGAAGTTTATGTTTTGCAATAATTTCATCTATCTTGAAATGATTTAAAATTATCTCCTACTTATATATAAACAGTTTATCTTACACCAAGAACAAACAAGATCTATTTAATTAAATAACACACCACTTTTGCATAAACTGCACAAAGCCGTCAAACCCAAACAATAAAAAAATAACAAAATGAATTTTCATAATTTTTACATTTTCACAAATGTGCAAATTTTTAATAAAAATGTATTTATTTTTAAATTTCAGCCATCTGCACGGGCGTTGGTCTCATCGTGTTTCCCTCTGGTTTTGACGCGGCCGAAGTGAAGTTGACCTGCGGCCCGACCGCGGATCGTTTTTATTTTGGCAACTGCACCATCCGGTGGGCCTACGTGCTCGCGATTATCGGCCTTCTCGACGGCGTAGTCCTCGCCATCCTGGGTTTCGTCCTGGGATCTCGACATGTCAAACTGGCCGACGAGTTTGGCGTGGGGGGCGGAAGCATGCGCAAAATCCACAGCATTTCCACCGGGCTGCCGGGCTACCCTCCGCGGGGGATGTACTACGGGACGGACTCGCACTCCGGCCCCACGCCCTCCGTCACCTATTCGTACGCCTCGACGAAGAGGTCGCTCAACCTGCAGCCCGTCGTCCTCCTCCCCCCGCAAGATTCCGACTCGTCCGACCACTACAGATCGAAGGCGTCTCTGTATCGGGCAGAGTATGCCACGCCGAGACAGAATTTCCAGCTCTAGTGGTTTCTTAATTAATTAGTTAATTAATTAATAGTTAGTTAACCTTGCATGCCATCAGTCGAGTGAGATGATTTACAGTTTGGGTGCTTGCAATAAATCTATTTTTTCCTTAATTTTATGAGCTTGTTGGTTTTGAAGAGTGTTTTTCGTTTTTTACGGGTTTGCGAAATACGTTTCTTGTACTGCAAAGAAAGAAATGGAAGGTGCAAGAAATATGCGAAGTTTCTTGCACCTTACATTTCTTGCAGGTTAAAATACTTGCGAGAAACTACTTTCTTGCCGGTATTTCTTGCAAGTTGTTACTTGCACCCGAAACAAAACGCAGATTTTGAATGGATGAAAATAGTTATATTTTTGGTAATAAATAAATTCTATGTAAATAAATGTATCATCAATTCATCATGACTGAGATGACGATAGTGTAAATAAATAATTAGTTTAATTAACTACACTAAATATTTAGGTTACATTTTATTACCGCGTTTTCCCAAAGATGATTAGTACATACGTTACATTGTTTAGATCCATGACTAGAGACTAATTATTAATTATGTGTAATTAATTATGATTAATTACTTATACGGATTAGCTTTTTACGTTGCCGCTGCTAAAATTTCAAATTTATTTGTTACGAGATCATCAATTTTATATTTTTATGAAAACAAAATAAAAACGTGGCCATTTGAGGTAGAAAATTGGATTTTTTATTATTTTACACATCGGAAAAACAACACGACGAATCGCAAAGTTTTTGACGCTTATCATTATTTCTGACCACGACGCCAACGCCGCGATTATTATAACTTGTCTTCGTATTGTTATTATTACCGCGTAGCAATTCGTCTTTCCCGGTCAGGGGGCTATTTCTCTTGGGGAAATTATTATTACTATTGTAATTTTGGGTCACAGGAAAAATTGACATTTTCGGATGCACCTGAAAGAAAGCTGTCCGTCGGTTCGGCGCGGTCAAATTTTTCGCAAAATTGTCCACATCCGGTTTAAGAAGTTCGTCAATTGTGAAGGATTTTATCCGTTTTTCTCCAGTACTGGCAGTTGAGGTGTTTGTCGGGGTTGGAATTGGAAAGCAGACAAGTTGGTCGTCACCACCACCGGAATTATTATTATTATGCCCGCCCCCACCAGGGGTTCTGATTGGAGGGGATGAACTACTCAGCCCTGCAGCAGGATTCAAATGACTCCAGAACGGAAAGCCGGCAAAGTAATTGAAATGATGGGAAAAGGAGAACTGAAACGAGGCGTGGTTCGGATTTTGGTGAGATGAAGATCCCGACGACGAGGACGAAGTGGGTGGTGGATTATTGATCCCGTGACCGTGATGATGATTGAGGTGGTGGTGGTGTGGCGACGACCCGACGGTTTGATTTGATTGCATGTTATTACCTGAAATATATGAGCAGTTGTTGACAATATAATCAAAATTGTGATTAAAGGCATTGGCCGCGGAAGCGTGTGGACAGAGGGGCAATGTCCCCACGGTTATTCGATGTCCCCATTATCTGCCCATGTTATAAAAACCCCTCCCTCCCCTATTCTACAATGTTAATGTCCCCAGACGTCCCCACGGCTTCCGCGGGGACATGGACGAAATGGGGACAAAAAAGGTGTTGATTTGGAGAGGACATCGTCGCTTACTTATAAAAATGGGAGAAAAATACATAAGTTGAAGTTCAAAAGGAGGAGGATACAGCAACACAGAAACAGAACAATTGTGAGATTTCTTCTTGAGAGTAGCATTGCATCACGGGTCGGTTACATAATTGGAGTGAGCATAAACTTGGAAGAGGAGGATGTATACTCCATTTTTTACACCGGCAAAGTACCGAAATCATCAAATTATTCTTTCCTTTGTTGTGGGAATTGGTTCATTACCCGATAAAATGGGACAGAATAAAACCCTCTTTCCTGTTGCGTGGCGAATACTTTCGTCTCACTTTGCCTCAGGTTCGAATTTCTCTCGAATTTCATGAAAATTTTGGTTTGTGCAAAAAATAGTGGAAATATGTACGTACCACCATTATTGCCCTTATTGCCCGGACTGCCGAGAAGACCACTCCCACCCAAGCTCATCTCACTGGCCGTCAACATTCCGGAATTTCGGAGAATCCTGTTGATTGAACTTATGCTGGGAATCCTGTCCCAAAAATTATCACATAAAGTACATGATAAGTACGTACATATTTATTGCTTAATATGTATCCACTGCCTGCTTACGTGTTAACATCACACACCCTCTGTGACAAGAGGACTTCGCGAATTTCCCATGCGAACATGGCTGCATTTTCTGACTTCAAGCGCAAAATCTTCTTCACCACGTTGGGCGTTGCGACTTGCTGGGAAATTATTAATTAATCAGAAGAATAATCAGTATTGCACTTATCAAGGATTTTTGCACCTTGGTAAAGCTATTAAATAATACAAAGTCATGATGATTTACAGTGGAGGTCTCGCAGCGTATGTTCAAAGATTTTGAGCAAACCAGTGTCAATCGATCACAACTTTAAGCAATATGCAATTTGCAAAAGGTGTTATCTGCAAATGGTCAGGTTTGGCAGAGATATTTGAATCTGAAGAGGAGAAAATGCGTCCAAAAGTTGACAGATTTTACACTTTCCAACTGGTGTTTTGTCCTCTTCGGATGCGAATATCTCTGCCAAATCTGTGCATTGGGAGATCGTGCCTTTTGCAAATTTCATACTAATCAAATTTGCAAACCGATTAACACTAGTTTTCTCAAAATCTGCGAACATACCCTGGGAGACCTCCATTGGTAGTCATCCTCTCCTAAAAAATATTGCAGGGGGAGTGAAAAAGATGGAAAGATGGGATGGGAACCACCTCAGCCGTCATTCAATTAAGAAAAGTTAAGCAATATTTAGCAAGCATATCTATTAAACCAATGTCTAAGTAAGGCAGCAGTTTGTTGGTTTTATGTTCAACTTGCGTAATTCTTCTCGTAGGAATTGCACCGTTCAGTTCAGTATAAAAAATTTAATGAGGGTGCAATTTCACTTTAGTATATGCTCATCCATTGCAATCATGTGCATTCATACTACAAAATCATCTTCATCTCTCATTCATTTCATAGTCTAACCAATTTTTAGAAAATTGGGCAAAAAACGAAAGGAACAGTTTTAAAACGTAACGTAAATATGTAATTTTCATATTATTACAAAAGTAGGAAATATTATGCCTCTTGTAAGACAAGAAAAATCAAAAATCTTTGTCGATTCCGATTTTCCGTTAGAAATTGAAACGTTACAAAAAATGTGTCAGGAATAAAATTCACACTTTTTTTTTAGCACACCTTAGTTTTTGATCCTCCAATCGACCCCGGTTTGATTGACCCCGTTTCATAAAACCTCGTCAAAATTTTGGACACGCATCCATGCGAGACGAGAAGTTGTCTGGAAATGTCGCAAGGTCTGACGCCCATCAACGCCAATTCTACGATCCTCCTCCGCACGTAGTCCGGAAGGGGACGCCCGTTCACAAAAACGCCGCCCAACTGATTCACACCTGCTTGACCTGCAAAATCATAAATCCAATTTTCAAGGGTGATCAATTTCTTGAAAAAAAGTAGACAATACAATTAAGCCACCAATTAAATGACATGTGTATTCCGCGTGACATTAATACTCTGATTTACTCGCTCTAATAAATATCTCATGTCATAATGAAACTTTTTTGTTCGTAGAATCATGAGCATGTCGTCACCTGACTGACTTTTTTTTCGTGTAAAACAGGTAAATCTTACAATGTGTGTAATGCAGTTACGATTATGTGCACACAAAAAATGCATGTCAAACTGACTCTGGCGTAACTAATGGATTGACTCGTTTACAAAAATTGTCTCAATTTAAATAATTCGATAAATTATGTCAACTTTCGACCTACCTGTGTGTGGCATGATGTCTCATGAGTCCATTAGTTTGATGATGTAGTTTTTTTAGGTTTTGAGTGACAACACCAACTTAATTTATTGGGGGATTTACGGTTTTTGGGAAAGTTGAGACTGAGATTATGCGACAAATTAATATAGTTTTTGTTTAGTTTTTTAGTAGGACTAACTCAATTTATTGGGGAATTTACGATTTTTTGGGGAAGTTGAGACTGCGATGATGCGAGAAATTGATAGTTGGACGTGAACGTTGAGGACTGCTTTGGGTAGTTTGAGAATGAGCTTTCTAGGGATTACAGAGGACTTTCCACCCTCTCCGCCCGGGTATTTATACAGAGTCCACCGACACCCGGGATTCGGATCCAGTACGAAGGAGGAAGGGAAGGATTATGACTTGCTTCGTCTCCTAAATGGTTGGGAGTGGTGTGACAGGCGACCCAATGGCGTGGATTGATAGGCGTTCAGAAGTTGTGAAAGCAGAGCAAACCGCAGTGAGGAGAAAAGCAGAGGTGAGAAATCCATTCGGCCGGAATTTTTGGCACTTTACTCAAGTGCTTAAATGTAACGATTCGGTGAGTCACTGGGTGGATGTGGATTCGATTTCACTCTTGGCTTTCCTTGAAGGAAGATGAAAAGTAAGAAGAAAATATATTCACTGGAAATGTGTTGGGGGGAAGTTGAGAAAGTCGGGATTTTACTGGCACACTAATGTCGAAATAGACAGAATTTCGGGTTTTGTTTCTGCGGGTTTGCTACATTTTTTGCACTGCAAAGCAAGAAACGCAAGAAATCTGAGGTGCAAAAAACTGCAAGAAATATGCGCAATAAGTATAGCAGCGGAAAGTCGTTTCTTGCGCCTTGCATTTCATGCAGGTCCAAATAGCTGCAAAAAACCAGTTTCTTGCAGGCACATCTCATACTTTCACTCGAAACACTGACAAAATTTTACCTTTCAAAAGTTTCAAAAAACTGAAAATTGAAGTCCATGCATTCTAAAGAAAAAAAAATCAGGCCATTTTCATATCGTCAGGGTATGCGTGTCCCCATATATATTTTGTGCACCTTGACGGTGCTCCTAAGGGCTCGGTTAGTGAGTGAGTGAGGTTACAGAGCCGCAGAAAGTGGGAAGCGTGGTCCAGTCCTTTCTCGGGTAGAGCTCCACCCTCCACCCTCCGGTTGGTTGTGGTCTAATTATCTCCGGAATAATGGCCCGTCGTCCCCAGGGAATGGCTATCTTTCTCCACATTCGTCCTCCCCACGCTCCCACCAGCCAACCATCCATGCACAGCTTCTCTCCCTTCCTTCCGCTCTCACCGAAATGTTCCATCATCCAGAATGTCGTCCCAGGTTTAAAATCGAAATTACGGAAAATTCCACATTTTCGCTCCCACTTTTTGTGTGCGAGGCCCTGAAAAGTGAATTCTTTCCATTGTGAATGTGCACTCTTTGGAAATTGATTTGGGTGGAAAAGCCAGCAAGGCCAACCGCCACGTCCTTTTCACAGAGATGCTCCTTTCTCTCGCCCCTTAATTACCTCGGCAGAGCGGTGGAGAAAGTTCGACTTGTCTCTGGCTGGCTGGCAGGGGCAGATAAGCGTGCCAATTACGGGACAAACTTCTCTCTCTCGAAACCAACCACCTCGCTCATGACTTCACAAAGAACGTATAGTCTCCTCTGAAAAGTTGCCGTTTGGGACATTCCTCGCCTCGAAGGAATAGTTGCACATTTTAGGAAATGATAAATTAAGGTTGATTAAATTGAAAACATGAATTTTGAAGTAAAATGCGGGGAACGAGGCTGGGAGTGGAAATGTGGAGAAAGGGGTTTTCTCGATCAGTGGCCGCGGAAGCTGTGGGGACATCGGAGGACATTAACATTGTAGGATAGGGAAGGGCAGCTGATGGGAACTTCTAACAACCGTGGGGGCATTGTCCCCCTGTCCGCGGCCCCTGTCCTCGATCTATATACAAAGCCACCTTGTATAAAGCAGCCATTTAATCCACCTGAGCTTTAAGTATATTGTTATCAAAGATGAGCAATCTGTTGGTTGAGCTGGTTTTCCTTCTCCCATTTTAAAATGAGACTCTGCTTCTCAACTGTACACTATTCTATTCAGTTTAATTCGCTTTAATTCTGGTGAAGCCCCCTGATACCCAAGTTTTCAATTAATTCGAAACCTCGCGATGGCCTTATCTCGTGCACGCTTCACCAAATCAATTAAACTTTCGGGTCCGTATTTTCCTTCGTATTTGTACTGGTGAAAATTGGATGCTACAAGAAAATCCTGTACAAGCGAATTATACTGGAAATACATAAATATAATGTGTGTAAAGTACCCAAAATACTAAGGATGGGTCGGTATCGGTCAAGCCGATCAAATTTCCGGTCATGAAATGAATGTTTTCACTCATTTTTTGATGCCATCATCCATCCGATTCCGATATGGAGCAAGGTTTGACGAATGTACATATCGATATGATCAAATATTTGGTATGATTTCTCCCTTCCTGTTTTTTTACCTCGATCGCATCGACCAACCCAAACAAATAATTTATTCTCACGACAAAGGAAGCAGTGACAGGTCCTTGTCCACCACATTTCGGGATAATTGTCCCCCAAAATTATGGTTATCATGTCAATACGCAGTTTGCTCACGATTCCGACGAGCCAATCCTGTCCGGAAATTGACCACTCTGTCAGTTCCCTTGTACATGCATATTTCTGGCTCATGTCGTTCTAGAAAAACTTGTTTTTCTAGAACGATGAGACAAATATAGAATATAATTGATCCTGATTTTCCATCAGAGAAAAATAAAGTGGATGGCATGCGAATTAAAGATATCGCTTCGAATATATGTAGATACCCATCCCTCAATTCAAAATTGAGGACTTTTCTATTTAGAGTTGGCCAGCCAGCACGCGTGTTTGTAAGAGCAATGTTAACATCAGATTAGGCATGTCAGTCCATCAGTACTCATGCCATGTCATCAGATTATCAAATCATCACATATTATTATTTGTAACTAACTCCCCTTAAACGGGGTCTTTTGTCCAAATCCCACCAGACCCTCGAGAACCAACATGCTACTCCAATAAATACGTAAGTATGTATGTATTACTGGTGAAAATGGTTATGTAAGGAGAGCACAGCAGAACTGATCCGGAGAGGAAAATAAGGACCCCATCCACGAGAAAAGGGAGCTTGGAAGGGTGGTGGTGGTGGTGGTGAGAGGGTGAAAGTCACACTTGGGTGGCGATCCCAATTACGCCAAACAATGGGAAGGATTAAAGTTGAGAGATATAAATAATTCAAGTTATAACTGCTCCTTGATAGATAAATTGGCTGGTTGATCGACTTGATTTTACATTTCTGGCTCGTTCACAAGTTTTTGAGGAACAAATTTCATAATTTTGGCAGAATTTCTAACCAAAAAGATAAATAAAGTCAAAATTTTCGAAAAAATAATGTTGTCAGTCAATTTTAATAGGGAAAAAAATTGTATATCCAGGGAACTCGTGATCGACGGTGTCATATTGGAGTCAGAGTTGTTTGTGGCCACCCTTTCAGTGCTGAATTCTCTGGGGAGAACGTCAGGTTTGGCGAGATACGGTTCTGTTCTGGCCATCTCGCACCACCCGGAGCACGGGTTCGGTGCAGTTTAACCAAAACGGGAAGTGTCTCTTGGGTCTTCTTTCTTATGGCAGAAGCAAGCATCACTCTCATCACTTCATCATAAGTCTATGTACATAAATTTTCACCAGATTTTATTCCTCAGATTTTCAACAAGCATCAATTTTAACTATGAATTTCGAAATGCGGAATTTGTGCTCTTTTTCTTGTTCAGCCTATGGCGAAAACATCACTTTTACCATACCTAAATTTTCACTAGGTTTTATAGCTGAGAATCACCAATTTCCGCATATTTTTCAGATTTGAAATGAATTTCGAAATGCAGAAATTGTTTTTTCTTTACATAAAAGATAATTATAATAATTTATTTGCTGTGAACAACATACGTACGTAAAGTCGAGAGCATGAATACTTTACACATTTTTGTATCCCAAGATCTCATTTATTGCTCTCATCTGACTGAATGTCGCATAATCGGGAAGCAAAAACCAAGGGTTAGGTTAACCAAGTACCCGTGGTCTCTCTCTTCCTCTCCCATTTATTCCTTGTCAAGGGGTTGTTATTGTTCAAGATGACAAAAGAAATTAACGACCGGAACCGCTTTATTTATTTGCTTTCGGTTCACACATGTGGTAAATAATAAAACCCTTCAATTTCATTACCGTTTCATAAAGGGAGGAAATAATGAAGTGCAAATGTGACAATCTGATCATTATCCCCGTTTTGTTCCTCGCAGTGGCCGCTGGGGACGGAGGGGCAATGTCCCCACGGTTATTCGATGTCCCCATCATCTGCCCATGACATATAAACCCCTCCCTCCCCTCCCCTACCCTACAATACTAATGTCCCCACATGTCCCCACGGCTTCCGCGGCCACTGGTTCCTTGCGTCGTTGTCATGTTGACCATAATTTTTTCAGTGGTAAAATTATTTCGGTTTGCAAAATTCAGGTTTACAAAATCGCAAAAAATTGGTAGTAGTGAAACACTAAAATTTCGAAACACGACTTGATTTCTTCCAAAAATGGGGAAATTTTCACCCCTTCTCTTCTCTCTGTTTCTCTTCTTGCCAAAAACTGTCCTTGGCGAAGTTGACTGTTCCAGCCTGACCAACCTCTCACCAACCAGCACGCAAGAAGAGGTCCTCGCCTGGATGAAGACACATCCAAGCGGATTGACGGACACAGACGTGACCCGCATCCTTCTCGGCTGCAAGGGCCACTTCAACTTCACGATAAGCCAACTTACCGCCTTCCAGGAGCACAGGAGACCAAAAATTATGAGGTTCACGGCACGAAAATTCCCCCTCTGTCTGCGTACCGAAGATGTCGAGAAGAACCCACACATTGCCCATTTTGCCGAAGTCTTTAAAAGTCTGGCCGTGGAGGAGAGCAACTTTGCCGCTGCGAATTATTCCGACCGTGAAAACCTGTACTACGACCTGATTACGAAGTGGAGATGGGACGGCACAAGTAATAAACTGGGACACTTGAACCATGTAAGTGTCAAATTCCTTTAATAATTTAAATATTCTTATGTCCATCGATGACTCATCGTCAAAATGAGCACATTTTTAATCATTTGTCCGCTCTGAGAATTTATTTAAAAATTCTGGACGGCAATTTTTCTGAAGGCTTCTTAAACTTGAGGTATTCTATTTTCAAAACTGTCAAAATCTAGCGGGTATATTTTTTGGCAACGACTTGTTCTGCAAATTTGTCGTCGAGAATTTTTAAATAAATTCCAGGAGCTGAGGAATGATTGAAATGTGCTGATTTAGACTATCTATTTTGGCGATGAGTCCTATTTACGTTATTAAACAATATTTTCACGTCAGATCGAAATCAACGGATTCCAAACCCGAGAGGTTTCGTCCTACGGACAAAAGCTGCGCCAAAGGTTCCAAATTAGGCTGCAGTTTGAATTCCCCCCAAAGGGCGTTATTATCCAACCTATTGATGGATTTCTTGGTACGACATTTTCTCCCTTTGAGAATGTACTATTCGTTTTACTAATACAAAATATGATATATACAGGAATTCCGTTTGGAGAATTCGCTCGAGACATACAGTGTATAAATCACCCACATGACGTTCGGGATGCGAGGATTGTTCCGTGCAGATATCGGCCTAGGCACAGCTTCCGGGTTAGTCGCACGACGACACTTTTTGCGAATTTGATTAATAACAAATACTAAATAGGATGGCGGTCAGTTTGGCGAAAAACTTTCGCCATAAAATAATTACAGTACTTTACTGATAGACTAGACCCAATGTTTTTTGGGTTCCGAAAATTCACGACTTTCATTTTTTTTACCACATTGGCGAAAATGAATTTAAATTCTGCCACACTGACCGTGAATCTCTAAATATTTCATTTGCACCCACAGCACCCTCACGTCCTCATGTTTGGTTCGATCCCTAATCATCCGCTGAAAAACGAGCTCATCTTTGACTTCAATTGGATCAATGTCCCATGCCACGAGGTGGTCGCGTTCCAGTTCATGTGCGTGGTCTTACTTTTCATTTATTTCTTTATTACTGGGACAGAGGGTGGGGATGTTTTTATTTCCAACTTTTCCATTTGATGAAGACCGACTGTCAAGCTTTGTCCCTAATTCTTAAAGATAAAAAAATCAAAAATTTTCCACACATTGTTGCATATATCTAGGTTTTCAGACATATTTAAATATTTGTAAATATTTCCGCGATTATTTCAAAAATACGTAAAGATTTTAGACATTTTTCAAAAATACGTAAAGATTTTAGACATTTTTCAAAAATACGTAAAGATTTTAGACATTTTTCAAAAATACATATATTTTATTAATATTTCAACGATACGAGACGAGTTTGTTCAAGAAATTCGACCACAGAGAAATACAAATTTTGCGAAAATTTTACATTTGAAAGTTTTTTTTCATAAGGGGGCGCTCATAAATGACGTAACGCAAACATCGCAATTTTCTGCTACCCCCTCCCCCAACATGTTGTGCTCGTGTCACAGAAGCAAGATATTATTGGAGCCTTTTAGACCCCCCTCTCGCGTGGCATAATGTATAAACGTTCCCTGAATCATGACCAGAGTCCGGCCAAATATGTTTTTATGGATCCCTACTCATGTTGTACTCAACACGAGTAGGGTAGGATCCAGTACAGAAGGTCATGATTCATGACCTTCTGTACTGGATACTACATACCTATAAAATAGATGCAGTAGATAATAATTTCTCGTTCCCTCAGGATAATTGCCATCACGGACTTCACAACGCCCCACTACGTGGCCTTCTACACGCCCGTGTACAGGATTCCGTCGGGTGCATCCTTCCCAGTCCACTCTTTCGACGGTGCCCCGAGCTACTACTACCACGACCTAACGTCAGAATGGGCGGGGAATGTCTTTTGTAACCAAACGAGTATCATCGCTCCGCGCCAGGATAAAGCTATCCCGTACAGTCGAAGTTATGATGACTGCATTCTGCACGGATCCCCCGACGGGGAGACCTGCCCCCCTGGTCCGTTTGCCTGCTCGCCAGACCACTTCCCAAAAACTGCAGCGGAGTGGCACAAAGCCAAGGACGAAAGAAGTCTGCTGTTAAACGAATGTCATCTTAACCTCCCAAGAAGACATGGCACGGAAAATACCACGTGCATGGTATTAATCGGCAAATAACTAAGCATCATAGAGCTGAATTCGTGTTAGTATTACGACAAGTGCGGTAATATGCATTCTGAGAATTTTGGAAATTAGCATAGTAAGCAATAATATGCAAATAATTACTTACGGGCACTTGTCACTACTTGTCAGTCACTTATCACATGTGCAACAGACCGACTACCGCGCGAGGATTTTCTATCACGCTTAATTATTTTCCAATCAATAGAATTGTGTAGAATAGTTCTGATTTTTCTTAGTAAATGGTGACATCAACGTGTTATTGATTTTAGCCAGCACATCCAGAACATTTTTTTATGCATGCGCGCCCAACCCCACCAGACCTGCCCACTCCGGACCCCGATCAACTCTTTTTTGAAAGACGTCGAAGGAAGAGGAGTGCCCCAGAGGCGGAAGAATGGTTCAAGGACGATTCTAACGAAACCAACACCACCGTCATCATCGAGACTACGTTCCAAACATCAGAACGTACCACCACATTGGACCCCAATGTGGAACATTTCACGCCACGCGAACTCTTCTACTTTCACTATCGACGACTAGGAATTAAGTATTACAAAGTAAGCCCAGCTTCCTCTCGATACGCATTTGGAAGGAATTATTAATTGAATAAAATTATGCCCATAAAATTCTAGTTCAACAAACGTATGCACGGCATATTGATGATATTTGCGTTCCTGGTCATCAATCCCTGCTCGCTTTATATGGCACGATACTTTAAGGAAACGCCGGGCGTGTCTTGCTGCGGAATTCCGAGATGGTTGATGGTAAGATAATAAATTACGTTCTCTTAACCACCAATATTAATGTGGATTTATTTAATAACGTCACCTCATTCACTCTGTACAAACAGACTCACATCGTCCTCTCCTGTTTCAGCATCACTTTCATGTGGTAAAAATTTCCTCCTATCTAAATAAATATCAATTCATGCATAGCAAAATATTTCGTGGCAAGTAAGCAATGCATTTTTTGCTATTACAGGCTGGGTATCGTGGCGTCGTTGGGAAATCGGGGTCGTGGCGTGGTCGACTGCGAGCATTTGCTGGGCAACGGAGCTTTAAACACGGAATGCACCGACCATCAAAATTCCATGCTTCACATGGGATTGGGCGTCGTCACGGTGGTGGCGTATCACATGTCCGCCGCGACGGGATGGTCACGACCCAAGGACAACAAAAGCATGTACATGACGACGCACAGCCTCTCGGGATATTTCACTGTTCTTGGCGCAAGTATGAAATCAAGAAACGAATATTTTGTTTTAGTAGCAGTGGCCACGGAAGCTGTGGGGACATTAACATTGTAAGATAAGGGAGGGAGGGACTTATATAACATGGGCAGATCATGGGGTTATCCAATAACCGTGGGACATTGTTCTTTTGTCCCCACGCTTCCGTGCCACTGTGTTTTAAGTACTTTGTAATTCAATTCTTGTCTAACTGATCCAGCCTCCTGCAGCATTCTGATCAATATGGGAGCCTGCACAGAAATCAAGGTAGAAGTCGGTGCCCTCTCGGGCGTCTCGTTGTTCATGTTCCTTATCGAGTGTGGGATGCAGTGGATCCAAGATAAGCGCCTGGGACAGAAGGAACGCCACTTTTTCCCCATTCTGGAAGGGATCGAGGTCCGTGAGTCCGCCCCGTGTCAGTGCATGAAGGGATTCTGCTACTTTTTCGCCGTCCTGCTCCACTTAGCGATCGGCTGCGTCATCCTGCTCAGCTACTTGGTCATAAACCAACAAGATTTGTACGGAAATCAAAAAGCGACCGACAAAAAACACCTGATCCGAGGCCTTTTGATCGATGAATGTACATTTACAAACTATGAGCTATTAATTAATTCTAGTCTAGACCGCGATGAAGGCGTGGCAAGTACTTAATTGAGGAGTAATTGTCATCCATAATTTTTCATGCCTGTTAACTTTTTAATGTGTGTCCTTATGTAATTCTGGATTTAGTAAAATATTTTAATAAATAATCACGTTCCTGTTAAATGATGACCTACGCAGGTAAACAGTTCTTGAGTTATCTCCTCCCTGACAAGAAAGAAGTGCTCTTGTCGCGTATGGATTGGATTGAGGTCATAACGTGTTACCTACACATTCGTTACAATCATGATCTCGATAAGTACGTACATACATACGTGATAAGCTCAAGCATGATAACAAGCCTTAATAAATACTAAACTAATAATAACTTGAATGTACCAACCACCCGGTATATAAACCGGACTTTGACAGAAGTAGATTACCAATCGCACTCGACTCTGATCTGGTTCAATAAGTCGTCAAAATTTCAACAAGAAATATATTTTTTACGTATTTAAAAAAATGCTGGCGAAATTTACACCCATCGTCGCCGCCATACTTGTCGTGGCGGTTGCGACAGTTACTCATGGTCAAGTTGACGACCGGTATCGCCCAAAAATTCATTTCAGCATCGCCGCCAACTGGATAAACGATCCGAACGGGATGGTTTACATGGATGGGGAGTACCACCTTCATTACCAGTACAACCCCGCAGACTCCGTGTGGGGGCCGATGCATTGGGGTCACTCCGTCTCAACTGACCTCGTTACATGGACGGATCTGCCGATTGCAATGTTTCCTGATCATCTGGGGCAAATTTTCAGGTAGGGAAGAAAATTTAGTGATTTCAATCAGAGGTCGACGCAGACAAATTTTGTGGCGGCGGCAGAGCAATTTTTTGTGCTTTTTCGGCAGCGTCGGAGGCGTGGCGTGGTTTTGAAGGAATAGGAAATCTGATTTATCGGCGGCGGCGGCATACGATTGGCGGCGCTGATTTCTGATTTTAACAATGGTTTTAGCAACTCTTTCAACTTAGCTATGTTTTCAGTGGAAGCGCCGTCGTGGATTTCAATAACTCGACCGGGTTCCAACAGGATGATGTAAACGTGCCAATCGTGGCGATTTTTACGCACGCCGGAGATTCGCAACAACAAAGTATTGGCTACAGTTTGGACAAGGGGCGGACGTACGCCAAATTTGAGGGCAATCCTGTCATCCCGAATCCAGGCAAGTGTTCAATCCAGTTGACAATGAAGGTCACCCCGCGTATGCTCGCCGATTTTGACCAAACTTTTGACCAAGTTTGGGCAGAATCGGAGAGCATACGCTGGGAGAACGATTGTGGGTAATGAAATAACTATGCACTATCTAATAATTAATTATCCAACTCGTAGGAATTCCAGACTTCCGTGACCCCAAAGTGATACAATACGATGACAAATGGATTCTTCTGCTCGCTGCCGGAAACAAGGTCATGTTCTACTCTTCCACCGATCTCAAAACGTGGGAGTACACGAGTGAATTTGGTGCAGATCCTGAGCAAGGCGAGCACTCCGGCGTGTGGGAGTGCCCGGACCTTTTTCCACTCCAATTTGGCGGAGAAACCGTGTGGATCTTAATTGTCAGTATAAATCCGGGAGGTAAAAATGCTAAAATAATCAGTGTTTCGTTTCTTGTGGTTTGCTACATTTCTTGAGAGGAAAGCAAGAAATGCAAGAAATGCGAGGTGCAAGAAACTGGGAGAAAGTGCAAGAAATATGTGCTATCTAGCCACGCGCAGTATGTAGTTTTTTGTGCCTTTCATTTCTTGCAGGTTAAAATAGCTCCAAAACCCACGTTATTGTCGTTATTTCTTAAAAGTGGTTGCTTGTACCTAAAACACTGACAAATTTACATTCTAACAAATTCTCCTAAACAATTTCAGGCCCGAACGGCGGCTCAGCCACGCAATACTTTGTCGGTGGGTTTGACGGCGTTAATTTCAACAGTCCTCAGATGACCCCGCTCTGGATGGATTGGGGTGTCGACAACTACGCGGCCATCTCCTTTTTCAACGAACCCTCTGGTCGCGCCGTGAACATGGGCTGGATGAACAACTGGGACTACGCCAACGGTCTCCCCACGATTGGATGGAGGGGCCAGATGACGCTTCCTCGCGTGATGGACCTCGTCCTGGTCAACGGACAGCTTCGCCTCGCCTCAAATCCGGCCCCCGAGTTGAGAACGCTCTTCAAAAATGAGACGTACCAAACCGTACCGAACCAGGTGGTGGAGGCGGACCAGGTTTTAGAAATTCCGACAGGAAACAGCTCCCTCCTCCATACAGAGTTCACCTTCGATACGCGAACTATGGGGATAGGGTCGAGTTTGGCGATTTGTATGACGAATCCGGCAGGTCAAGAGGTCTGCACAGGTGCGAAATGACAATATTTTCTCAGGATGGATTTCCTCAGGTCAATTTCATGCTAATTACCAATCTTTCGTTTCCTACGGGTTTGCTACATTTCTTGCACTGCAAAGCAAGAAATATAAGAAATGTAAGGCGCAAGAACCTGCAAGAAAGTGCTGGAAATATGCACTATCTAGCCACGCGCCATATGAAGTATAGCGGCGCGGCGTAGTTTCCTGCGCCTTGCATTTCTTGCAGGTCAAAATAGCTGCAAGAAACCAGTTTCCTTTCCTACCTTTATTTCTTGTAATTGCTTACTTGCACCCGAAACACTGCTAATTTCTTTATATGCATTATTTAGGATTCGACAAGGGTCGCGAGCGTCCTTTCTTCTTGAACCGATCGGACAGTGGTTTCGTCGACTTTGCCCCCAATTTCTCCCGAAGGATCACCGCCACCAGGGAAAGGTCGAGCACAGAAGCGATCAAGTTTGAAATTTACTGGGACGTAACTGCCGTCGAGGTTTTCATCGATGGAGGGCTGACCTGCATGACCGCGCTGTTTTATCCGGACGAGCCATACACAATTTTGGAGGTTCGACACCACGGAGCAGGGAATCCAGGCGGTACTCTGGTCATTTCTTCGGGCTCGATTCGTTCCTTGTACGCCATGGATGAGCTCATCAACAAAAAATGAATCTTTTCAGAGCAATTTAACAATTCCCAGATGTAAATAATAAATCACTAAATTGAGATAATGTCAAAAAATCACCTGACAAGGATTATATCTCGTAGTAAAAATAGTTCATGCTCCAGTTGACGTCTGACGCTATCAACAAATTCATGAAGGCATGGCATCTAAATATTTTGCTGTGTGGTCGAAATCATGTTCATTACATCACGGATGATAAATTACGTGATACGATCCATCATTTATCAAAATGGGACCGATTCAAGTGATCGCATTGTTTGTTATCTCTCCAGTTTTTGCACTCATACGTCGCGAATGGGTATAAAGGCATTTTGCACGCCTCCGATCTCCAGCCAGTTGTCCATGAGAAACCGGTTTGCACGGAGGATCGGTTCATTAATCGTTCGCCGAGAAGAAGGTAACAACAGTACCGATTTGAGCGTAGCAGAGCAGACATGGACAAATTGTTCCTCGTCGTCGTGCTCGTCGTGGGTGTGGCCCAAGTTCACGGGCAGGGGATCCTTTTTCCGAGAGACTCGGAATCAAGGGAGTCCAAAAGTTTGGATGGGATTTGGAATTTCCGACAAGAGCCAAAGGGAGCGGTCGACCTGGGATTGACGGAGGGATGGTTCAACGCTCCACTGGAACAGGTGTGTATGCATTTGATAAATACAATGCAAGCCAAATGAATTTATATGTAGCTGATTTGCATAATATTTGCACATTGTCGCAGAGCGGAGAAGTGGAGAACATGCCGGTGCCGTCTTCGTACCAAGATCTTTCGAACGATCGGGAGAGGCGTGACTATTTCGGATGGGTTTGGTACGACCGAGAGTTTTGGGTCAGTCCCCAGTGGACTTTGGCCGACAAAAGGGTTTTCCTCCGATTTGGGAGTGTCAACTATTATGCTATTGTGGTAATTAGCTAAATAATTAGATGCACATCAGATTAATTAATTAAGCTGGAATATTATTTGTATATTTAGTGGGTGAATGGGGTTCGGGTGACGGAACATCAAGGTGGTCACCTGCCCTTCCAAGCCGAGCTGTCTCTGATTCTCAACAGCAACACGGCCAACAGGATAACCGTCGCGGTGAACAATACACTCACCTCCTCCACCGTGCCGCAAGGCTTCGTCCGGGTCAAGGAAGGCGAACAGTAAGTTCATTAGGCAGTCAATGATTATTTTCAAGTTGTACATAAATTTTCAATTATTCAGATACCCCGCAAACCACACCATCATGTCGGATAATTTCGATTTCTTCAAATACGCCGGAATCCACCGATCCGTCCTCTTGTACACCACACCACGAAGGTTAGTTAGCTTTCAATTTCAACATCCACCCAAAAAACTATGTCCATTTGTTCTCTGCCCACGCAAAATAAGCATGTCCGCTTTCCACCCTGATTTGTCCCCTCAAAAACTTGAAAGCCCACTGTCCATCGGCTGTTTTTCTGTAAATACTTCACCTTTTTACCATCACAAGTAACACAGATAAATGGTCGAAATTATTCGTTTCATTGCAGCTACATCGATGACATCACGGCCACCCCAAGCGTCACAGGGACAACAGGCACGTTGACGTACAATATCGCCACAATCGTTGAAGGGGCTGGAGCAGAGACGATAAACGTGGACCTCTTGGACAAGGAGGGAACCTTGGTCTCTTCCGCCCTCACCGCAATCGGGACACTGGTCGTTCCTAACGCAAAACTTTGGTGGCCTTACACAATGGTCAGGGAACAGAATGAGGCCGGATATTTGTACACTTTAAGGGTAACTGACTAACGTCATCAGAAAATTAACTCAAAGTTTGGTGGATGATTCATAATCAAAATTATCATATTTTTAATCATTTCTCGGCTCTGGGAACTTCTTTTAAAATTCTGTAGGATACATTTGTAGTTTGTAAGCTGATTAGTTTTTCGGCCAGTTTGGATGAGTTCCAATTTTTCTGAAGCCTTCTGAAACTTTAGACCTCCTCCGCCAAAAAGTGTCAAAATCTAGAGTGCATATTTTTTTAAAAGTGGGAACGACTTGCTCTCCAAATTTGTCGTTCAGAATTTTAAAATAAATTCCCAGAACCGAGAAATGATTAAAAATGTGCTCATTTTTACGATGAGTCATTCAATCTAATGTTAAGTAAATAAACATGCTTCGAATTATTAGGTGACCTTCACGAAAGGGGGGCTCCGAGATGTGTATCGAATCAAGGTGGGCATCCGCTCGGTCAAATGGTCCACAACTTCTTTCCTGATTAACGACGTTCCCTTCTACTTCACGGGGTTTGGGAGACACGAGGATTTTTTCGTAAGCAATGCTCGCTATTAGTGAAATATCATTTTTACCAAAAAATTCAATAAATGTCACCACCTTTTCATATGCAGCTTCACGGTCGAGGCTTCGATCCCGTCTTGTTAATCAAGGACCACAATCTTATCAAATGGACGGGAGCCAACTCTTACCGGACGACGCACTACCCGTACTCCGAAGAGTTGATGGACCTCGTTGACCAATTGGGCATTGTCATCATTGACGAGTGTTCCGCCGTTTCGCTCACGTAATAATAATGCAAAAAATTATGTCAGAGGTCAACGCCGAATAATTTTGCGGCGGCGCCAATTTTGGTGATTTTTCGGCTGCGTCCTAATGTTGAAGGAATAGGAAATTAGCTTTATTGGAGGTGTTGACCTCTTCATCTATTTAGCAGCTATTTATTAAAATACTGCAATGAAATTATTCCAGTGAATTCGGACCACTTTTGCTGGAAACGCATAAGAGAGAAATGTCCCAATTGATGCAGAGGGACAAAAACCACCCCAGCGTGGTCATGTGGTCAGTAGCTAACGAGCCACGGTCAGAGGATCCCAATGCTGAAAACTATTTCCAGTACGTCTCAAATTTTTAATTTCCCATTAAATTAAATGCGATATTAATTGATTTGCATAAATATTTTTTTTTTACTCCTCAGAGAAATGTACACTCACACCAAAGCCCTCGATGCTTCTCGACCCGTGAGCATCGTCCTCTTTACAAATTACGCGAATGACAAGGCTGCCCAATTTTACGATATTTTGGGTCTAAATCGCTACCACGCGTGGTACTCGGACGTTGGTGAGATGGAAATTGTGCGAATTGCTGCCAAAGCTGAAGCCACCAACTGGATGACGAGGTACAACAAGCCGTTGATCTATACAGAATATGGGGCCGACACGGTTACAGGACTCCACATGGTAAATATGCATTTCTTGAGTTTCTTGCTTTGCAGTGCAAAAAAAATATATTTAGCAAACCCGCAAGAAACGAAAACTGAATTTTTTTGCGAAATTACTTATATACTTAAAATTTGCACTTTTTTTGCACAGAGCCCAAGTTGGCTGTTTACCGAGGAGTGGCAAGAAGAATATATGCGTGAGCATTTCAAAGCCTTTGACGAAATGAGGACAAACACGACGTATACGTTCATAGGTAATTTTTTCTAAAATACGACGATTAAAGAAATTAGATAATATTTTTTAATAAATTTTCGCAGGAGAAATGATATGGAATTTTGCCGATTTCATGACGAAACAAGGTATGCAACTAGCAATGAAGGTCTCCTAGTGTACGTATGCTCTCCGGTTTTGAGCAGATTTAAATATTATGAAATGCACAAAAGTCGCCAATGGTTTAACCAACCAATTTAATCCTAAGTAAATTTGTGGTCAATTGACACTAATTCGGTCAAAATCGGAGGCATACGATGGTCCACCTCCATTGTATATATGTTTAAACTGCAAATTTGCAAAATTTCATGCGAATCTCGTTTAGAAATTACGCGAATTGTGGGCAACCGAAAAGGAGTCTTCACCCGAGATCGACAACCCAAAGCGTCCGCTCACCTGCTCCGGACACGTTATCACTTCCTCGCCAACGAGTTCTTTGGGTATCCCATCCCCGACGATTTGCACCAATCCACACCCGTTTACATCCCCCCAGCCAAACAGGAATTGTAACCCATATTTAATAAACTTTACCAAATTTATTACCAATAAATATTTTAAAAGTACAGCGTCCAAATTACAAGATTTTTTTTAGTGTATAACAAACTGATCACTTTGGACGTATAATTTTTGCCTTAATTTCACCATCTAATTCTAATATTTTAGTGAAGATTTTATTATTGAAAATTTGAGTAAGGTCGCAGTTTGAAATGCTTGAAACGCTTAAATTCTTTGAAGTATCGTTGGCAGTAACATTATGGCTGCATGTCATCACTCCAAATCCTCTCTTATCACCGGTCACGGGTATAAGCATGATCACGATGACGGTGCCACAAACCCCCAACGAAGTGATGACGTAAGCAAGCAGTATAAACTTCCGGATAAGACCTCCCTAAAATGGAGAACAGAAAAAATTAGTGTTTTCGTAAGGGTTCGATTTTAAGTTTTAAGCGCCCCCACCGCCGGCCAATTCTCGGCGCGCCGCACTGCAAGCGCGTTTACCGAAAAAACGGGGGCAACTTTTTGCCCTTTTACGGAAACTTTGAAGATTTTCGGGAATTTTGGAATATTTTTTGTACGCATTGTACTAATTTAGCTGTCAATGTACTTACCGGTATATCTGTTTTGTTGTACTCGTTTAAAACTGGCAGCGGAACGACCCACCAACCCCTCCGGATTTTCAGGGCAACATCAGTCCCGCATCGGAGAACCTGCGCATGCAGATAAACATATAAAACCCACAGTGCAGCCTTATTTAGCCCGAGTCAGGTTGCTAATAATAATTGAGGTGGGTATAATACTATCATGACATTTTTTTATTATTTTTCCGTACATTTTGCTCATCTTCTAACTTGATTATAATTTTGCACGTGCGCAAAATTTCCAATCGATAGGATAAATTTTACGAAGGTAATGATCGATAGACTAAGCCCTGACTTGGGCTAAGAAAAATAGTAAATTTGACCCATTTCACTTACATCCATTGCAATGTGGAACGCCACATCGGCAAAGAACCAGCCCATGACGATAAGAACAATCTGTTGCTCCAGATACGATTTCTCAGCTCCCGAATCAGCTTCACGCCACGAAGGAGAGCCCGAAAGTCGAACGGACAAAAAGATAAGGGACACTGGCGGGACGATAACCTCAATTTGAGTACAACCAACAACACATATTTCTTGCAGTAGCCGCGGAAGCTGTGTGAACATCTGGGGACATTAACATTGCAGGATAGGGGAGGGAGGGGTTTATATATAGCATGGGCAGATGATGGGGACATCGAATAACCGGGGAGACATTGTCCCTCTGTCCCCACGGCTCCGCGGCCACTGTCCACGGTGCACGCAGGAGGGAAAGTTATATTTCAGTGGGAGGGAGAAAGTCGTTAAACTAAGACTGGCAATAATAATACTGCATGTCCTTGAATTACATGTCCCCTGTTCCGCGGCTACTGATTTCTTGTCAATATTGTCACTTACGAGTTGACAAGTAGTACAAAAGACCAAGCAGCCAGTGTAGCAAGATGCAGAACATCCTCATGCATGGATTGTAACATCGCAGTCCCCCCAACAACATCAGTGCGAGGAAGAGAGCGTTATTTCCCCAGCCGATATAGCCATGGTACGCGGTGGGGATTTGGATCCCGAAAACTTTCCTCGTCGCCGGTTCACCCACCCCAAGAAGGAGTCGGGCCAAGAGGATGGCAAACGTTCCGCACAAGTGGAGGAGAAAGTTGATAAAGACGGATAAAAGATGCACCTGCAAGAGAAAAGTAATGGTCAAAATTCAGAGCTGGGTAAAATACAGTATTTTGATGCCGTTCTTCCCATGGTTTGGATTTCCGGGGCTGTCACACCACAAAAAGACGAAAATCTACGTGCAGAAGGCAACAGTCTTACGAAAATTCATGATTTCTGAAGAAATAACTTTTTACCGCTGCCAAAATACTTGGTTTTAAAAAATGGGGAAAATAATGTATTTTGATCACGATAAAAAGTTAATTTCTGTTCAGAATCTGTATTTTAGTCTGACCGCTGTCGTCTCCAAGTAGATTTTCGTCTTTTTGTCGGTGTAACAGAACAGCCCCAGAAATCCAAACTCATGGAAGAACGGAGCTCAGAATACTGTATTTTGCCTACCAAAATCACCTTATTTAAAAAAACACGCTGATTAAAATAGCTAAAAAATAGAGCTCACAATGAACCACGGCTTGTTGTAAATTATCGTCGACTTCATAAAAGTTTCTTTGTAGTTTCGCGTAATAAAGATGGAAACAGGGGTGACGAAGAGACCGGAAATCACGTGAGCAACGCCATGGACTTGACGAAAGCCCTGCGAGACAAGCCAATCCAATTTAGTCGAGTATACATAAATTTCCCTATTTTATTATTTTACCCAGGCGTCCTTCCCAGGAAACGATGTGACCCCCACGCCCTCCGCTTCCGTCAAGGTTTGTGCCCCAGTGGTGACGTTGGTAAACTTGTTCCGTCTCTCGCTGCCGGTCAAGGGGTCGAGTGGGTGCACCACGGGGTTCATATGTTTACTAATTATTCCAGGTGGTTCCCTACAAAAATACATGTTTACAGTGATTCGTTTTGAGCTGGACACCGTCCAGAATGTCCAAAATGTCTAATGAGGCAAAATTTTAGAAGCTGTTTATTAGCGACTTTTTTCCCAAGTCTATCCGCAAATACGTATGTCATCTCCCATTAATTTTGAGCATTTTGGCTAGTGTAATGCCACTAATTCGGAAAAACTTTTATTGTAACATGTCTTCTTACAAAAAATTAAGACATTTTCAAAACTATGATGTCTTGCACCATAAAAAGCGTAGCATTAATGGGAGGTTACTTATTTATCGGATCATCGAAAGATTTAATAATGAAGAACTTGTAACAGTTTGCTCCATTTTCTACTTTGGGCACTTTTTGACATAAAATTCGGTGCCCATATCGCCGAGTGAACTTCTAATTTCATTGATAAACAAATTGTGATAAATAATTGTCTTATCATTACTGGCTCGCTCTCTTCTCAGGAATTGGACAGTAGCAGTAAAATTTTAACCGATTTTCCACATAATCCTCGTATTCCTGGTACCGTGGATTATGCGTTTTCCAATTTCCGTGCGGCGTCCGACACCTAATAAATAAGTGCAAAGTGAGGACACAATCATGCCATGAGGACCGTTATTATTAACGCAGGACCCGATGACTCATCACAAAAATCATGTAATCACAACTCTGCTCTGGGAATTTATTTTAAAATTTTGGACGACTAATTTCTAGTCAAGAAATTAGTTAATAGAATGTCGATAAGTTTTCTAAGCCAGTTTCGATAAGTTTTAATTTTCAGAAGGCTTCTTAAACTCGAGATCTCCTCCTTGAAAACCGGTGAAAATCTGGAGTGTATATTTTTAAAAGATTGATCACGACCTGCTCTACAAATTCATCGTCCAGAATTCTAAAATAAATTCTCAAAGCCGACAAGTGATTAAAAATGCGCTTATTTTGGTCATCGAGTCCTACGTTAAGTAACAATTATTGATTCATATTGGCATGGGTCTGTACCTCGGCAACGGTTCCTGAGCAGGTTGACATCCCAGAAAATTGTTTACTTCAACCTTTTCGCATTCTCGGTCAGGAAAACTGGCTATGTTGCCAGTTGTATGGACTTCCACCTTCTCGACCCACTTGACCTTTTCGAGGTCCACTTTCCAATTTACAATCTTCTCCGGAAACACGCTAGGTGCATGGCCAGCAATCGGATAATTCTTCGACAAATTCACCTTCACTGGTGGGGTGAGAAATGCTGTCGGGTCGAAATAATTGCACCGTGTCAAAGTTAATTTTAATTGATATGTTAAATTATACATTTCAATTATGTATGTATCAACTTGCCATGATATTTGCTGTCTTGGTCGAATTTCTTTATAATCACGCCCCTAAAAGTGGTATGAGACTTATAAGCAGACAGAGGGCGGATATGTAATTAGTTTCAACTTTTTCCTTTGATGACGACCGACGGTCAAACTTTGTGCGTGTGTCCCCTAACTCTTATAGGTCACATAAATATTAAAATATTTCCACATGTTTCTTTGTTTTCAGACATGTAAATATTTCCGCTATTATTTGAAAAATACGTAAATATTTTTTCATATATTTTATAAATATCTCAACGATACAATTCGGATTTTTTTTGCCACAAAAACATTATATTCAGAAATACAACTTTGTGAAAAATCTTATTTTTGTGGTTTTCGTATATATTTTGTATGCAAATATTGTAGCGTTTTTTGTAAATATCAGATAGATATTTCAGCGATTTTTCGTAAGTACATATCCGCCCTCTGCTAATAACGAATTAAATATGGTGTCAAACTGTTAAATGAAATCATTAAACCGTACCAAAACGTCAAGTGAATCGGATTATTGCACATGCTTCGAGTGAATTTCCAGAGCAAATGAAGCGACGTCGTTGGTAGGTGCACCGCCAATTGGGGTTCAGCGACACCTGCACAATTGGCCAAATTATAATTGAGTTTTAAATGCAATTTGGGTTTCTTGTAATTTTACAAACCGTTGCTCTTTGTTACTTCCGAATTGAATGCGAAGTATGTCGGAAACTGAAAACATTTTAATTGCATCTTAATCGGTGCCAGAAGGGTGTTTCTTGCAGGTATTTTGACCAGCAAGAAATGCAAGGCGCAAGAAACAACGTCCCGTCGCCCCATACGGCGCTTGGCTAAATGCCGCATATTTCTTGCACTTTCTCCCAGTTTCTTGCACCTCGCATTTCCTGCATTACTTGATTTGCAGTGAGAGAAATGTAGCAAACCCGCAAATGGTCTTAATTAATGGCTTATGCTAATTAATCTGTAAGTACCACAGGTTCCACAGACTGCTTGTAAAGACACGGGAAAAACTGACTGTTGAGAGGAACGTCTGTGCTGTTCTGGTACGGCGTCGCAGGCAATGGACGCATCTCGACGAACTGTCCAAACCCGGAAAACTCGTCGCTGCTGACTTGAATGACGACCGCCTTGGTTTTGAAACTGTGGTCGGAATTGATGACGTGCAAGGGGAGTTCGTAGTGGATCCAGTTGTGGAGAGCGTGGTCCTCGCCTTGAATCGCGTACACGGCAGGGGTCGCATTCAGCTGGAATGGGAGGACATGCAAACACTTGGTGTTGAGGGGTTTGATGAAAAGTTCGTCGCGGGGACGGAAAAAATGGAAGGGTTCCGGGTTTTTGGAGAGATAGAATGGGAGGCAGAATTTTTCCAGGATAGTTTTGGACGAGGAAATTTCAGCCGAGATGATTAACACGAGAAGCCAAGAGGAGATTATTGCAGGACGCATTTTTGTGAAGGGATTCAAGTGAGAGGGACTGCTTGCAAAAAAATAACTATACAAATTGTCGGAGAGTGAGAATTGAGGTCTCTCAGCGTATGCTATCAGATTTAGTATCAACCGATCATAAATGTAATTTATTTAGATTTGCAAAAGACGCCATCTCACAGTGCGCAGTTTTTGCGGAGATATTTGCATCCGAAAACGGGCTATAAAGTTACCTTCCATTTACTTCGCGTTTCCGCCTCTTCGGATGGAAATATCTCTGCTAAACGTGCCCATTAGCAGATAGTGTCATACTAATTAAATTTGTGATGGATTGACACTAATTTTGCCAAAATCTGAGAGCATACGCTGGGAGACGAGAGGAGAATGCGTCCCTTGTTGATTGGACTGACCTCGAAATATAATACCACGATTGCTTGACATTAAGTATCTAGGTAACTCTTGGGTCTTTTATTCTTTTATAGATTGATAAAGTGTCAAATCAGGGTTGTTAATGAGACAGTAACTTGATAAGTTACTTATCAAATTATTGTCTCTTTAACAACCCTGGTGTCAAATAATCTTGGTTTGAGAATGTTGATTGTGCGAACAGAGAAGAATTTTCGTTTTTGGTGATGAACGAAATTTGGAAATCGGAAGGACTGACAATTTGTAAAATTAAATCATTTCATTGGTGATTACTGATTTGATTAGTGGGAGTTGAGTTGGACGTTAGTTATTAGTAGTGATTTAGAAGCAACTCAGTACTGGTTCGTTGGTGGACAAGAAATTTGGACACAGGGTGACGTAATTGCGAAAAAATTGTACTTATTTGACAATATTAAACAGTTTAAATAGTCAATTACGCTTTTTGAATATTCACAGATCTGGAGTCGCTGTCATCTCATCATGACAAATTTAGACCGAATGACGGCTTCCGAACTTCGTGAGAAATTATTGGAGCATGGATACGACATCCCCTCCTCGATTAGTAAGGACTTTATGGTGAAAAAGTTGAAGAAAGCGATGGAAGAAAAGAAAAAGACTTCGACAACGCTTGGACCTCAATCGACGGGAAATGCGACTGGTGGTCGGAAGACTCCGCCACGAGCAGTCGTTCGCCCTACTGCTCCAGAGATATCTGCCCCCACCACCACGCCACCTCGAACTACAAGGATGTCAAGTTCTCGAAATAATGCGAGGCAATCTGTTGGTGGGGTGGTGTCTAACAGTGACCTGCCGAATGAACCACTACGTCGAAGTACTCCGGCACGAAGGGGAGGGTTAAAAGCCACTCGCCATTCTATTTCAAATATTCCACCGGTGAGGGTGAGGACGCCGCCGAGGAGTATTGTTTCATCATCCAGACGAGGTAATTGTGTAGTACCACTACTAATTATTTTACACATTTCACTCTTTTAATAATATTGACTTAAACAAAATACGAATTATACAGAGGTGTATCAAGAAGACGATAACGAAGAAGATGACGAAGAACCAATGTCACAAGACAGCAGCGCTGTCGGATTCTGGTCGCAACAGCAACAACAACCGACACAGCAAATTCCGACAAGATCATCCCTTCGTCCCTCACCTCTCAAACGTGTAAGACCAAGTGACAGTCCGAACCACCAAACGCATTCTTTATTTGGAAATGCTACCACAGAGGCATTAATGTCATCTATGGACTCGTCAGGATTTGTGAAAAGGCAATCTTCAACTATAAGTTATTCGAGTCCGTCAACCACTTCGAAAGGAAGGTTCGGACTTATTGTGAACGGGAGAAAGGTATCTGACCTGATTAAATATTTTTAATTAATATAATCATCACTATTTTAATTGTTAATAAAAACTGTGTTTTTAGATACAAACTGATTGTATTCCGAATGACGAGTTGAATCCAAACAAATTCATATTCAATATTCCAGACGCGGATTCCGTAAAGATTATTGTGGTATTTCTACCTGAAAGTGAACAGTTCACTCCTGGTTCGTCAATTATTCATAATTAATTATGTTAGGTAGGAGTATCGGTAATTAGAAGTGAACTATCGATCTTAGATCGCATGTCTATTTAATTTCTACACAGGTACTGCGGGACAAATCTGCTTTGGCTGGCCTGACGAACGAAACGAGATCAAATGGCATATGCTGGGACATATTTCAAATATTCGGCCCTCTGCCATCTTCGATATTAGTGATTTTAAGCAAGCCATCGTCCCCGCCGCTGGAAATTCACGTTTTTCTTTCGGAGGCTTTTCTTTTGGAAACAACAATACCCGAGGACCCACTAATGCTCAGATCGGAATATCAATAGAATCCTTACAAGTCGTCGCATCATCAATGCATCCTCAAGTGCAACTTTAAACCCCATAAATTTCGAATATCCTCATAAATCAAGAAACCTAAACTTTCTAGGAATACTAAATTTCAGCCTTAAATCTTTGTTAACATAATAAAGACCTGTATATAAAAAAATAGGGTCAGGATTTGGTACTCAAACTCAAACTGTATGTACGGAGCTGTTCACCGGTGCGGAGAAAGCATTAAATATCATGAAATAGATAATTAAACTCTAATCATTCATTTATTCCTTATTAGTTTAGTCACCGTTTGGTTTCTGCTAAAAAATATTGTATCACAATTTTTAGCAAGCTTGCAAAAAATTATAGCCATTCGCAGATTTTCTTCCCGAATGGAGATTGAATTGAAATTGAAAGTGATGTTTAGGATAATAGTATCCGGAAGATTGCATGGCGAGTGCTCAATTAATTTTTACTTTAGTAGACTGTACGTATCTTAAATTTAACTGAAATTATAATTTACAAATTTTCAGGTTCAAACAAATTTTGTCCAAGTGGTCACCGATCTCTCAAAGTTCATTATTGACATCCCACAAGTGTCAAATAATCTTGATATAATACTGCACGACACACATTTTCAAATTAGTGAATTTTGGTTGCCACGGAATTTATTCCACATTTGAAACAAAACAATTTACCCAAGACCGCACCACGCTAACATTTTCACGAAAGGTATTTCAATCAATTTTCAATAACACAACAAAACATTTATCAAAAATTGAAAAACAACAAAAAAATATGCCGAGATGATATCACTTTTGTTTTAATTATTTCTTTTCTCCTGCAGAACCACGTTCTTCTCGCCCTTTCTTCATCTTCTTCCTCTCCTCCTTGTCCAACTTTCGAGCATAGTCTGTCATCTCGTTCTCCAACTGCTTGTTCTCACTTTCATGGAGAAGCTTCTCGTACCGGTAAATCACTGCCCACGCGGCCTGCTTCAACCTCTCGGCTCGAGCCTCTTCATAGTACTGCTTTCGAATTTGACTCTTCCTGCAGTAATATCCCAGCACTACGAGAACCACCCCTGCAATTTTAATAAGGAATTTAATTATTTAAGATAGTTAATATTTTACGTCAAATGAGATGATGCGATGCCTTTCTTACACAAAATGGTGAACCCCACGAACCAAATTAGTGATAGGAACGGATCCAATTCCGTCGCTTTAGGAAGCGATACTCCGAACAATGTATAGAACGGGCATTCATCATCAATTGCGACAGCCAAGAATACCAATCTGAAGAAAATTAATACCACAATATTCAGAGCACTTTTATTAAGTGGGGTCAGCCGTTTATTGTGATTATTTTGTTTGTCCGTCCCTTTGTGGTTAGAATATCTCTCGAACGCCGAAACACAATCAAATGCCATTTGCGCCGTTGTGCTTCAAATTTTTAGTTTTCAGCCGAGTTCGAAAATGGGATCAATCGGACCACCCCCCACTGCGCGTGGGGATGTGGTTCAAAATTAAATTTAGCCTTAATTTCCATATGGGGTGTCATTTTAAAGGTTTCAATGTCACTTCGAGATCAACGACGTCAATATTTTTGACCTCTGACCAACCCATGGCCGTGAGGACGAGGTCAGAGCCATCAAATAAATAATTTTCAGGCTGTCATTTTCCATTTTATTGTATGACGCCACATTTTTATCTTCGTTTGACACGATTTAATAAATTACTAACTGTAAAGATTTACGTACACTTTGGGACGTCGATTGTCTCTCGACCACTCCAACGTATTCATGGTCTTGTTGTACTTGTTGTTCATAATTTCATACTCCTCATTCTCCCAGCCCGTCCTGGTCACGTTCCACGTCTCGTTACAAGGCTTGTAGTTGGACTTGTTCCAAATGTGCAGTGGCTAAAAATCGTATAAATTTCCATTGCAAAATTTACATACTTTTGAAAACCCTAACTTGGCACTACGTACATTTGGACTGTGGACTCTCTGCGTTGGACGAAAATTAGCTTTCCACTCCTTCACAAGACTTTCGCGTCGTTGCGGCGGATACAGGCACCCACTCTCCTTCGCCGTCTTATCATATTTGAACCCGGACGCACCAAATATTTCGATGAGGATGTAACTATTGTTGTACTTCAGGCCGAGAGACGTGTTCTTGTTCATGTCCTCGGTCAAAATTCTCAAATCGGGGGCAAAATGGTCGTCCTGATATGGCTCGAGAGGACAGCCAAACGTGGTGTAATCGTACCTACAAGAATAACAATGACATGATAAATATGTGTAACTTATAATTGAGGTCTCCCAATGGATGCTCTCCGATTTTAAACAAATTAGTGTAAATCGATCACAAATTGCGAATGACACGATCTCCCAATGGGCACGTTTGGCGGAGATATTTGCATTCGAAGAGGAAAAAATACGGCTTAAAGTTGACAATTTTTACACTTTTCAAATTTACTGCGCGTTTTCTCCTCTTCAGATGCAAATTGCCTAATCGTTAATCGATCCGTACATGATTAACAATTTGCCGTTGTCTCCCATTCGAACAAAGTCTGGGTCGTCCTCCAACCAGAACGCCGCCATGTCGGGGTCGAACTGATCTGTAATCAAATTACAAGTTAGCACCACATTTGTTTACAATTTAACGTATGTAAATAATTACACCTTCACGGCATATGTACACACCTCGCTCTAATTCATACTCGAAATTTTTGACAAAAGTCTCCTTGCATTGACGTCGATATTCTTCCTCGTGAGCCAGCATTATCTTTTGGTCACAGCCAATTGTCTACAGTACAAATTTAACTTAGAACTTGATGATTCATTGTCAAAAATTTTGACTCAAAATCAGCACATTTTGATTCATTTCTCGGCTCTGGGAATTTATTTTAAAATTTTGGACAATACATTTATGGAGCAAGTCTTTGCCAATTAAATAAAATATACGAATTCAGATTTTGACTCATTTTTAAGGAAGAGAACAAATCTTCAGAAAAATTTCAACTCATCAAAACTGACCTAAAACCGCCGTTCAATCAACTAACTGAACACAAGAATTTTAAAATAAATTGCCAGACTCGAGAATTGATTAAAAAAGTGTTGATTTTGGTGATGAGTCATCGAATCCTACGTTAAATCATGTTTTGAAATAAATGGCCACACATATCGCAGCATTTCTACGTACCTTTGGAGGAGGGCAAGCAATGACTTGGACATCGCACTTTGCCGGAGACTGAAACATCATGACAACGTCTACAGGAAATTTTGGCGGACCATCTGGGTCTCCATCTCCGTCGAAACCGGTGCCCAAGTCGGCGAGCGATGTTCCGTAGGGGGCATGAACTCCTTCCATCCGTTCATGACACTCGAGCCAATGTGGCGCTTCGATGGGCATCGCGTTATCCACGGGTAAGTCAGATACCACGTCTGGAAGTAAATAAAATATTCTTCATTGTTGTACGACACGTTAACGTAGGACTCGATGACTTATCGGCAAAATCAGCACATTTCTAGGCTCTGGGAATTAATTTTAAAATTCTGGACGAAAAATTTGTAGTCTGTAAATTAATTAATAAAATGGCTGTATGTTTTTTTAACCAGTTTCGATTATTTCCAATTTTGCCAATGCTTCTTTAATTTGAGATCTCCTTCAAAAACGGTCAAAATCTGGAATGTATATTTTTTAAAATTTGCAACTTGCACTACAAAATTTGTCGTCAGAATTTTTAAATACATTTTCGGAGTCGAGAAGTGATTATTTAAAAATGTGTTGATTTTGAAGATTTTGGCGATGAGTCATCAAGCCTTACGTTAAGGACAAGATATTTATAAGACGGACATGTCCAGGTGGAGTTTGGACACGGGGGACACGGTTCTGTCGAGTTGTTGGGTGGATGTTGACACTCCTCAGCTTCCACCACGCTGCGTCCAAGTAGCAGGGTCAAAATTACTTTCACTGCGAGGATCATGTCGAGTAAGGTCACCTTACTAAGGTGGGAAAACGACTTGCAATAATGAAAATGTTAAGCGTTTCTTCGTTCTTGACAATTATTTGTTTATTTTATAGAAGATCAAATTGATCCTGCTCTCTTTGCTCTAATGTTCAGAGAGAAAGGAAAGGACATGAATTTGCTACTGCATGGTTACCGAAGAGAACTAGAAGGAAAGGAAGGCATATTTTGTGAAAGAGAATTTTTGTAATTTGAACAAATTTTTTTGCATGATCTACAGATAAGCCATAACTGTTCATTTCATCTCACCACAATCCACAAAACCACAATCCACAAACCTTTCCACAAACTACAATCCACAATTCCACAAACCACAAACCTGTCCACAAACTACAATCCACAATTCCACAAACCACAAACCTGTCCACAAACTACAATCCACAATTCCACAAACCACAAAAAAATGTTGTACACTTTCCACACCACAGTCCACTTTGTGGATCCACACTTTGGTTTGAACAGCTACATATGCTAATTACTAGTAATTATGTATACATAATTAAACACGTGTTTCAGAATTCTTCATAATGCTCAGTTGCAACGAAGTTATAACGTTATACGTGAGCGACAATTAGCATTTTTACAGCGAAATTTTAAGATCCGAATTCCCGCTTACGGATTATAACATGGTTTTCAGTGTGCATTTTGAAAAATCATGAAACGTGTGTTTAACTAGTTATCTAAGGCTATATCATGGATTCACAAGAATGCCTCAAAACTTAACCATAACTATAAACTACAGACCTGTCCACATTGTGGACCAGTCTGTGGTTTTGTGGATTGTAGTTGCGGACTCCACAACTACAATCCACAAACCACAAACTTTTCCACAAACTACAATCCACAAATCCACAAACCACAAAAATATCGTGTCCACTTTCCACACCACAGTCCACTTTGTGGATCCACACTGTGGTTTGAACAGCTCTGATCTAAGCGAAATCTAAAATATTAAGGTTTTAAACTGCATTTTTAGCTGAATAATTAGTTCGGCGTTATATGTACAAATGCTATTTTTAAATGAATGATGGATGGGCCAGAACGGGTACCTATATTTATGCCGATTTTTCCCCAATCCTCAAAATATGACAGTACGCCAATGACATTGTAATTTTACTGGTCTAGTCGTTTACCTTGAAGAAAGAACATGAGATGGATGATGTAGCAGCACGAATGTCATCAAATCTCCGGATGATGCAGTCCTTAGTGCGTTGTCATCACTAATCAGAGGATAAAGTTCCTGGAGAACTTTGCATACGCCGAGCAAAAGAAAATATTAAGTTAAAATACGGATAATATCGGTAACACGGATTCATAAGTCTTTATTTCTAACTTCTAACAGTTCCATTAATTTAATACAAGAATTGTGATACATAAATATTAGTTTATAAATCACACCAGTCAAATGTGGACGCTTCTAACAAATATTGCGCTTGAAAATTCGTAAAACTTTCTTGTTCGGACGACGAAAAACATTCATTTTATCGGACAAGGTTAACTATTCAACTATCGCTCCTACTTCATAATAAATTACTAATAAAACTATCACAATCTGCTTATTTTTTGGGAAAATTGTACCCGTTCTTAGTCCGTCCTATAAATTTGTTGTGATCGTATGAAAATTCATTATAAATTGTGACGTGTCATTTCTTCATTTCATGGCAAATATGTTATCGTCGAGTCAAGTACTTGAGGAAAGGCCAGTCTCAAAAGGTCGGTGAATTCATAATGAATATACGATCCTCTTCTTTTTTCACCCATTTTCGCAACTTGTTGATGGCATTGATAGCTGCAGATTTCTTAACTAACGGCTCAAAAGTGACGTAGAGTTCGAAAGTCGAGGTAAGCCAGCCCAACCAGTTTTCCGTGTCGTCCACCCAGTAGATTAAACTGACGGGGCGAGACCGGTCATGAAGCCTGGAATGGATTCGGTAATATTTGGAGTAAAGTCTTTGCAGCTCTTCGGACAAGTCGGGGGGCAAATAATGAGGAGCACCTGTACCACCGGCACAAGTACTCGAACTGCTTATACTGGAAATGGACAGATTTTGAAAAGAGTTTTCATTCCCGGTTGTCGAATTTAAGTCTGGTAATGATGACGACCCGTTGATGTAGGGCGCTTCTAACGCTGGTGCCATGAACTGAGCTATGGAACGATTCTTGTAAAGAAAATGTCGAACTTCAGGTACATTCACGAAGGACATTGTCGGCCAATTGTTGTTCATGGAAGCTATGATCGCTTCTAAGCAGTTGTGACGCTTCAAACGCTGGAAAGCAAATAATAATGATAATAATTTAATAAATAGATCATTTGAATTCAACGATTATCTGAATTTACTTAATTATTTATTTACCTCCACAATCCTATGCTTGGCTTCGGAAAGGGCGTGGAAGGAGTCTCGATTCACAGTCAGTAAAACTAGGCAGGCTTGGCACTCGTCAGATAGATATGAAACGTGGGCGTGAACAAATCCCCTGCAATGTACAAATAATTAAATTAAATTAATAATTGGATTACACGGAGTTGCATGCCTAATAAGGTGATTATCTTGTTTTTATGAACAATGTAAGTTTGACTTACGTAGCATCAAATCTGGGCAGGCACAATGGACTCCAGATTTCCGCAGTTTTAAATGACTCGGAGGCATCGATGAAGTTAATAATGATGTGCAAGTCCATTGGATGCATGAAGCATTTTTTCATCCTAACCAAACTTACCAGTTGGTTATTGGCGAGTAAAATGGCAAACACGACGTCTTGCTGAAAATAGAAAAGTATTTAATTTAAATTTATAATGTAACCCGTCGTCAGAGTTTGCAGTAGAAAAAAATATTCCAACGAGTACTTGTAAATTGTTAATAATACCTTGAGCTTGCTCAGTGTCTGAGAAATGGTTGTGCTAATTGTGTCCCTCACCGAGGTCGCTAATGGAAGACAACGAACCGCTCCAAGAATAAAACTTGGATCGGATTCTACCAAATTGCACAAGTTGTACAGCAGTCGTTCAGACCCGGAAAGTAGTCGTCTTAAGTCGTAATTTCGTCGTTTCTCGAAAATTTGAAGTAGTTGTTTCAACGTTAAGACGCTGACGATTTGGTTGTACACATACCTTTAAGAATAGAGTTAATAAAAATTACTAAACAATATACAATGAGTAATTATTAACCTGTGTAACAACAACTTGAAAGCTTACATAAGTTGAGTCTGAATTTGAGCCACGGATTCGCCCAGATTCGACACGCAGACCAAGATTAGTGGCGCTTTCAAGAAGAACACTACGATTGTTCCACCCATTCGTATAGATCGAATGGAGTCACCCGAATCTTGAACAAATGACACTAACGCTTGCATAACTCCAAACAAGGTAACCAACTTTTCTTCATTTCCGTGTCTATATAATGATGAAAAGGACACAGACATTCAAAAATAAATTACTCACTTGTAAAGTATATCGTGTTAATTGAGTACCTTGAGAATATCGGCTTTCCTGATTCGCTTAGAATGAATACGTGTCGCTTTTGTCCCTTCCAAATGGCATTGATCCCACCATCCAGTCCTTCCTCCTCAGAAATCATGGACGTGTTTAGACTCCCCCCACTCCCAAGCACGTTTTCCATCGTACGATGGAGAACGTCATCATTTTCGCTCTTTTCAAGGTTAGAAATATTATTCCCGTTCCAAAGTTTGTCCTCTTCTGAGCCTGTGGTGGCGACTGAAATGTCGTCGAATGCTCTTGTGAGTTCCTACAAATGGAATTTATGACAATATGTAACTACAAACATTGAATTCCAGCGTGTAGAATTTCTATGCAAAAAAATTACCAAATTTAGCCTTTCGTCTTCTTCTGTTACTTTCTCTTCATCATCACATTTTTTCACGCAAGATAGTGCGGAGCCGTCACTCGTATCTCCCCCTCGATCTTCTTCCGGGACACTGTCCTCCCTCATTGGCGATGATTTTTTGCCCGTTGGACTATTAAGTATCTGAGAATGTGATGACGATGCTTCTTCGTCATCTGTTATGAACAACTTTTCTCCACTGGACTTTCTCTTCTTGTCTGAAGCAACAATTTCTTCCCTGGTTTCTTTATCCATCGGGATTTCAGAGCAACTGCTTAAAGTGGTCGAGGAAGCCATTATATTCTAGGTCCCCAGTCCCCACCCCAAAATAATTTTGAACTTGTCACGAGAAATAAATTTATATTTTTAACAAAATTATTTGTCTTTGTCTCAATCTCCACTATTAAAGCACTATTAATAAGTCCATAATTCTTAGTAAACTTTAATTATTATCTCACATAAACTTTAACTATTGTAGTTTACTTGATTGATCACATGATCGTTTACACAATTATGTTTTGTTTGGAATAGTTTGGCTCATGAAAATATTATTTTGATGAGAAATTCGAAACTCCCCCAAGACCTGGGGAACATTGGACGACTCTTCACTCTTTGGAATGTTGGTGGAGAAATTGAGACATTGGGAAATTGAGACAAATCTGAAATTCATCTTTGCAAAATTCGCGTTAATCCTATTTTTAAAATGAAGCATAAATTTAATGACTTTATGCACTTTGCTCATTTGGAATTCAAAGAAGGTCTCATTCCACTTTATTTTATATGCTGCAACATTTAATAATTTATTCTCAATAGGTCTGGGGACTAACCAACCGTTTGTGACACATTGTGAATCAAGCTGGTTGGCTAGTTTACTAACTAATTGACAGGTTAGAGTTACACATAGGTTTCTATATTTCTGAGTTAAATGAATAGTGTACATTTGCATACGTAATTAGTATATTTAATTCTGGATTAATAATTCTAAAGTAATAATTTCGAATATTTAGAATTCGTTGTCTTTGTTCAGCTACTTTTAGTTTTTGTCTATTTATCTCCATGATTTGAGTACATAGTTTGACAAAACTAGAGAACTTTAACTTATTAGTGATTATTATTTAATTCAATAAATCAACAGAGAGCTTTACTTGAAGAAAGTAAATGGCATGTGCCTTATTTAACTAGGAAATATAATCTTCCCATTGAATTTTCTAAACATGAAAATTTTGCATGTCAATTTCTTGCAGAATTAAAACTGCTCTCCTATTCTAAAATACAACACAGTTCGTATTTTGTGATTTCTAATCACTCACTATTATTAGAATAATTAGAATTTAAATGCTTAACAGTTAATGGCTGGCTACACAATTGAGACTTTTTTGGGAATTTAAAACACACATTAAAATCAATATTTTTATAGTTTGGGGACAAATGATGAGTGGTTTTGGTTTAGTCGACGGCTAACTTCTTGCCGGCACCACCGTTGGCGTGGAGCATGAGGAGGGCAGCCCCACCAAAGACGAGGCTGGACCACTGGTCACTCCATCCTCCCAGACCCGCAACTTTCTCCTCGACCTTTAAAGTAATCAAGGTTAGGATTAAATAAAGTCATCAGATGGGTCTTCACTCGGTAACTTGCGCCAATGTTATAATTTAACTATGGCGCAAATTACCAAGGAGTGAAGTATAAACACACTTTATTCCGTGAAAGTTATGAAATTAATAATTTATGTACTTACGCCAATAAACACATCTTTGCCAATGGGAAGATCTCTCGTGGCCCAGGATCGGCGGTCATCTGCGTTCTTTGGGGCCAGAAGTGCAACTGTGCGTCTCAACTCGTCACCAATTCGGGACCCTTCTTTTTCAGACAGTCGAACAGACTCGAGGGCGTCAGTGCGGAAGGTTTTATCCTCTCGGACGAGTCGTCGTGATTCTTGGCGTCTCGTATTCTCGTCAGCAAGTCGACGGGCATCTTGACGTCGCTCGGTGTTACCGTCTTCACGGACAAGTCGTCGCTCCTCGCTTCGCACGACGCGTCTGTTGTTCTCGTCGCGAACAAGGCGTCTCGAATCTTGTCGTCGTTCGCTATCGTCATGGACGAGTCTTCTGGAATCTTGTCGTCGTTCGCTGCTCTCATCGCGAACCAATCGTCGGGCTTCTTGTCGTCGTTCGTTACCGTCTTCACGAACAAGTCGTCGTTCCTCGCTCCTAACTAATCTCCTGTTATTCTCGTCTCGAACTGATCGTCGGGCATCGGTTCGTCGCTCATTGTCATCTCGTACCAGTCGTCGGTTATTTTCGTCACGGACGAGTCTCCTGGAATCTTGTCGTCGTTCGCTGCTCTCATCGCGGACCAATCGGCGGGCTTCTTGTCGTCGTTCGCTGCCCTCTAATCGCCTCTCCTCGCTCTTTACAACGCGTCGATTGTTGTCGTCACGGACCAGTCGGCGGGCTTCTTGTCGGTCTCCGTCCAGCCGCCTTTCTTCACTCCTCACGAGGCGTCTGTTATTCTCGTCGCGAACAAGGCGTCTCGAATCTTGTCGTCGTTCGTTATCGTCACGGACGAGTCTCCTGGAATCCTGTCGTCGTTCGCTGCTCTCATCGCGAACCAGACGGCGGGCTTCTTGGCGTCGTTCATTACCGTCTTCACGAACAAGTCGTCGTTCCTCGCTCCTGACGAGTCGCCTGGCATCTTGTCGTCGTTCGGCGCTCTCATCGCGGACTAATCGCCTCTCCTCGCTCCTCACGAGTCGTCGGTTATTGTCGTCACGGACCAGGCGGCGGGATTCCTGTCGGTTACCGTCGTCACGGACCAATCGCCTTTCTTCACTCCTTACGAGTCGTCGGTTATTGTCGTCACGGACCAATCGGCGGGCTTCTTGGCGCCGGTCGGTGCTCTCGTCGCGGACCAATCGTCTCTCCTCACTCCTCACAAGGCGTCGATTGTCGTCGTCACGTACAAGTCGTCGCGCTTCTTGGCGTCTGTCGCTGTTACCGTCTTCACGGACCAATCGCCTCTCCTCGCTCCTGACAGCTCGTCGATTGTTGTCGTCACGGACAAGTCGGCGGGCTTCTTGCCGGTCACCGTCGTCACGGACCAATCGTCTTTCTTCGCTCCTTACGAGTCGTCGATTGTTGTCGTCACGGACCAGTCGTCGGTCACCGTCTTCTCTGACCAATCGTCTCTCCTCACTCCTCACGAGTCGTCTCCCATCATTCCGCTCGTCCCTGACAAGTCGTTGACGGTTGCTGTCACCCAGAGAAAATCTGCTTTCACCTTCCTTCTCGCTGCCTTGTATGGTTCTGGCGAGACGGATAAAATTTCTGCGTTCGGAAATTTCTCTCCGCTGTTCCAAAGCTTCGCCTCCGACCGCGCCGAGACTGGCGAGGAGGACGGTTCCCACGAGAAGAAACCCCAGGTGCAGGAGAAATGGGGAGAAACTCTTCTTCATTGCCACCAAAAAGATGCTCACTTGTCGTCGGGGGAGGTGGATGCTGGGTCCAAGTAGAAGAAGGAAGAGGTTGCTTTTGGGGAAATTGAGACTTTTTTTGGATGGAGGACTTTTGTACTTTTCGGGAAGTTGAGACTGTTTTACTAGTTGTTGGTTTCTCCTCTGAATGATGAGACTTTCACTGGGAGACGAACCCTTTTATACGATTTGGAGTCTAAGGAAAGTGACGCAAGTTGAAAACTGACGCATTTCAGATTCGAAATCAGCACCCTTCTCTCTGATTCAATTGGTGACCATCGAAGGGGAAAATTCATCCCATTACAGGAAAGGGAAGAAGTTATCTTGTATTTCCATACTTTATGGTTTAGCAAGCCACGCAAAGAGGCAAACTTTCTCCATTCAGCTAGTATGGATACTGTTTAAGGCAAACTTGATAATTTGTTCTCGGCTCCGACACCAACCAGTCAATCAGTGTTTCGGGTGAAAGCAACCACTTGCACGAAATAACGGGAAGAAAGTGGTTTCTTGCAGCGGTTTTGACCTGCAAGAAATTCACCGGCGCAAGAACTACGCTCCGCCGCTATTCGTTCATAGGGCGCGTGGCTTGATGGCGCATATTTCATGCACTTTCTCCCAGTTTCTTGCATCCCTCATTTCTTGCGTTTCTTGCTCTTCAGTGCAAGAAATGTGCCAAACCCACAAGAAACGAAACCCTGCCCTCAATCTGTAGTGTAGGCCACTTTAATGCCCTGCATACATATTTGTGAGGGTATAGATTGTCATATTGATCATTCCTTGGAGTTGGAGGTGACCCCGAATAGCGCTCGTGTATGTAAATATGTTGCTAAACACGTGGGCGTCAAGCAAACAACTGCTTTCTGCGTCACCACCACAATTCTTATTGTTCGAGAAGCTAGTTTAAATTTAAATTGGGCACAAGACCACGAAGACCAATAAATTCATTTCTAAACCAACCCATCCAACCGGATGTGATTCGAGTTATCAACAAGTTGCAGGATGAGGAGGAGGGTAAAACGGGTAGATCGGGTCGTTTCACTTTCACTGGAAATATGTAAGTTTCACTCCCCTTAAAGCGAACCGGGTGTAAGGAAAATACGCCTTAAAAAATACATGATCCATCTATTCATAGCCTTGAAAATGCTACACTTTCTCCATGCTAAAATAAATAAGCTCTCGCAAGCCTTGTGTAACACGATTTCAATATTTTTAAAAAAATCTGTGCTGTACTTTGCTATTTTCCATAAAAAATACATTCCCCTTTATTTTCTTAACCATAAATATTTACAATTATTTATGCATATACTCATAAAATACAAACTCACTCGTTCCGATCCAACCATTTGCATATTTTCATACAAGTACTTATTACAAGTGAGAGAGAGAAGAACAAATGGAAAAAGGTACAACATTTCATTTCATTAAATGGAGAGACTTTCACCACCACTTAATTAGTGTAAATATTTAGTTAACGTACAAATTATAAAGTACTGAAATTTTGCACATTTTGTTACATATCCACCGGGACGACCTGCATCACAATTTTGACCAAAACTATCACTCAGAATTTTGCTGAACTTCGTTATACATTCCGTTAATCGTGTCCGTGGATGGTTTCCTTTTTTCCAGTGGGGCCACGCCCAGTCGGTTGTTTGTCCGCTTATTCTGTTCATCACGGTCATCATCATAACTGTCAATTATTGAGCCTAACGTCTCATTAAATTCTTCCACGATCCTGCCCTTGTCCTCCAGGTCACCGTCAATCTGTGGGACACAAAAATACGACATCGATAACCCATCAATCGATCCAAGGATAATTACCAGCTTAAAAAATCAATTTATAATGTTATGATCCAGCTCTTTAACGTATGTAGGACTCGATGTCTCATCACCAAATCACTAAAATCAGCAATTTTTAATCATTTTTCAGCTCTGAGAATTTATTTTAAAATAGACAATAAAATTGTAGTTACGAAATTGATTAATAGAATTAAACCAGTTTCAACGAGTTCCAATTTTTCTGAAGGGTTCTTAAACTTGGGATCTTTTTCAAAAACTGTAAAAATGTGGAGTGTATATTTTTAAAATCTAGTGTTTAGCCCGAGTGAGTCTGCTTCGAAATTTTTATCAAATGACCCGTACCAACTACTATTCGCAAACATAAAAATGTTTCCGTAATCCAGCATAAAAAATTTCAGCTTATTTGACTAATTTCAAAAACTAGTATGGGTTCTCTTGGCAAAAAATCTTAAAATTTACTTCATATTTCTTAATCTGATCTAACCCTGAGGATAATTTTGGTCGTCTACGAGCGTTTTATGAAACCAGCGGGGGTGACCCTACTGGGTCCTTCAAAATATGTAGTAATTGGGTCGTTACGACATTGTACTTTCACTTTAGTGCACAATTATGACCATTATTATTATTATTATTATGACCATTATTATGACCGAATATTAGCTACCAACTTTTAAAATAGCAACTTTTAGACAGCGGTGTGGGTCACCCTCTTGTTCCACTTTGCTCGCTTTTAATTTCATATAAGTACTTTCATAAGAAGCTATGTACTCATAATTTTTGAAATATTTACAAATCTTGTCCCGTAACAACCATTACCAGTGGGTAATGGTAGTTAACTTTAACATTCTGAACTTCCAAGCTGTATGTAATTATCCAGAAGTGGTTTTTAGCCTCCATATCAAATTTCAACTCGATATGAAGGTTTCAAAGAGTCAGAATATAGGTCACTCTAGTTGCACTTTGCTTACTTTTAACTTCATATTCTTTCTTGAGAAGCCGTTAAGTATTTATCACCGTACCGAATTTCATCTTTTTAAGACCATTTCTAAAAACCGGTATGGGCCACATCCTAGGGTCACTCCACATAAAAAAATTACCAATTTCGCTTCATATTATTTTATTAGGAGCCATGAGCAACTTCAATGCCAAAGGTTAATTCCTAAACTTTTTAGCTCGTTTCCGTGGAGTGAATGTATTAGGATTATGTAATGAGGTTGTCCAAGGATGGGCCATCTTTTAAAAATTATTAAAAATTTTCGAGTTGGGGACAGGCACGCATTTTTTGGCGTTGTCACCCGTTGTTGGGTGAGTGAGAAATTATTTTTCGGTGGACTTTTTCATTTCTAACTCGAATGCATATTATGTGATATTGATGACCACTTCTGCCCCCGATAATTTTGTATACAGGGTGGTTAAAATGTCACGCCACAATGGAAAATTTTTCAATGGGAAAAATCCCTAAATCCCCATTAGTTACAAGATTTTGGATTAAGATTTTTATAATTATTATCAAAACTGGTGGAAAACTGATGACGAAATTCTTAGAACATTGAATTTTAGAGACAAAATTTCGGTAACTAATGGAAATTTACAAATTTTTCCCATCGAAAAATTTTCCATTGTTGCGTGACATTTTAACCACCCTGTATTTCTACACTTATTTGTATACATATTTTTATGAAGATAGCGACCACAACCAGGAGGATAATTCGAGTTCCAGATAAAGAAATGTTTATTTATCTTTAAAAAAACTTGACAAAAATTGACATCCTCATGATTTTAAAAACTTATACCGTTAACAACTCATCTTCGGTATCAGCAGGAGTGGTTTCTGAATCTGCACCAGCAGCTGCTACCTCATCAATTACAAAATCTTCCAGAACTAAATTATCCTCCTCCTCTTCGTCCTCCAGGTCCACCGTTATCGTGGGAGTGATAATTTAATAATGAAAATTTTGTCAAGTTTTAGACAAATGAAAATTTTTTCTCCGGAACTCGAATTATCTACCTGGTTGTGCTCTTTATAAAAATATGCATATAAATACGTGTACAAATATATAAAAGTATCGGGGACAAAAATGGTCATCAATATCACATATGTAATATGCAATCGAGTTAAAAATTAAAAGCAGTCCCCAGAAAATGTAGCAAAAATAATTTTTAAAATAATTTCTCACTCACCCAACAATGGGTGACAACGCCAAAAAATGCGTGCCTGTCCCCAACTCGAAAATTTTTAATAATTTTTAAAAGATGGCCCATCCTTGGACAACCTCATTACATAATCCTAATACATTCACTCCACGGAAACGAGCTAAAAAGTTTAGGAATCTTGGGTTAATACCGTCCAAGGGGTTTTTTTCGGCCTGAGCGAAAATTTATTTTTTTAATTTAAAGTAAAAACTCCGTTGGTAACAAAAGTGCAATAAATGTCAATACATAGCCCGAGTCAGGACTTATGGAAGCGTTATGTCTGTATGTCTGTTCGTGAACACGATAGATCTAAAATGGCTTAACCGATTGACTTGAAATTTTCACCATTTGCTTATTGGACAAACTTAAGAAGCGAGTTTGAAGAAGAGCCAAATAGGTCAAGCAGTTGACCAGGTCGGGGTAACATAGGTCGGGTAGTAGAATATTCGGAATGGTCGTAGAAGGCTGACATTCGGAGAATTAATAGCATTTGAGTACTAAACTAAAAATGGCTATAACGACCAAAGCATTTTTTTGAGGGACCTTTAAGGGTGACCCACACTGAAACTGGTACCAGGAGGCTGAAACTTGGCATGACACTACAGGATTTAAAAATTAAAGGTCAATTTCTAAGATTTTTGCTATGGGATAGAACGGGGTGACCCTCACTGTTTTTTTGAAACTGATCGAACAGTAAACATTAGTATTCGCCGTTGGAGCATAAGCGTTATCTTCGTCTAAGGAATTCATACATAGTTCAAAAACAGCTAAGTTCAAAAACTAACTAACTTCAAAAAATAACAAAGTCTGTCAATAAATACCGAAATTTTTCCCTCGTTCACATTAAGATAGCCACTTATAATAAAAACAAAAATGGTGAACAGTGGACAATGTTTTTTGAGTGGATAGTGGATACTGAAATTGGAAGCTATGATTTTGACGGCCCAGTTGTAAGTTATCCGAGTAATCGAATCCCTAGATGTTCTCAAGAGACACGGTGGGAAAAATTACAAAAATATCATCTTTTAGGGATGATAAGCACGGTGACAAACCAACCCGCTAATCGATTGGTTGTCAACAACCAATCAGAAATAAATTGGGATTGTGGTATGGCCTAAGCATGTTGGTTTTTCACCGTGATGATAAGATTTTCAGGATCGAAAAAATACTCCGGGGACGAATGAATCTTTTTTTCGAACCTGCAAATCATATCCAGATCGGATTTATACGCACCTGAAACCAGACAACCCAAGTGCGCAGTTTTTTTTTAATTGTCGTTATTTTCGGTCTTATATTACGTGGATTAGGGTAAATCGAGTGGGGAAAGTCGATTCGTGCTTTTTACCTCAACCGCATAAACGAAGACCTATACCGACGAGGTATAGGTCATGGCGAGGTCATGACGAGGTCATGGAGCTGGCTGTTACGCTCCTGGAGTCTATTCTATTCGAAAATGGACGTTGGACTTTCAATATGTCTAAATTCTGGCACCCAAAGCAGAAGTTATCAAAATTGGGCATCAGGACAATTTTTGAGATTTTTTTCCCTCTCAACAACTGCTTTCTGTAACACCCGATCCGATTTTTCTGTACTGCGACTGCGACATATGATTAAAGTTGGAGATGAAGGCATAATCTAAACCCTACAAAATTCTAGAGGTTAAAAAGGCAGAGCTTCTTGATCTGAATATGTCACACCCAGAAGATTCCCAAGGTTCGTCTTTTAACTGAATTGTATATTTGAGATAAATCAGGTGGATATAAAATTTCAAGTCAATCGAGTAAATATTACGAAACCTAATAATCAATTTGTCGATAGATGGACAAACATGATTACACGCGCTCGTGCTATTGAAAGTAGTCTATGAAGTAATTTTCTCCCAAGGAGAATTCGGGAGAAAATAAGTTGTTAACGACAACAAAATGGTGGAAAATGGGGTGGATTTTCCAATAAAATACAAAAATCATACCGACTTTGGGGGGTTGGTTTGGGTCGACCCCAGTGGAGCCAAATATTCTTTTTTGAGTATGTTATGTAATATGCCCTGAAGTTTGGATTCTAAAAAAAGCTAAATTTGGCTCCACTGGTATCGACCCTAATCAACCCCCCAAAGTCGGCCGGTAAAACATGCTTATCATTTATAAATCTTTGAGCTGGATTGGATGATTTTCAAAAATCGGTATGGGTCACCCCCTCGGGTCCCTCCAGTCAAAAATTTTTCTAATTTCAATTCATATTCCTCAATTAGACACCTCAATGCCAAATTTCAGTTTTCAACAACGATTTTGGTGCATAATACCCCTCCCACCCAGACGACTTCCATCGGTAGGATGAGTTTAACGAGAGTTATCGTAAGACGGACGGACGGATATGATGGTTCCATAAGCCCTGGCTCGGGCTAAAAAGTTGGCAACGACTTGTTCTCCAAATTGGTCGTCCAGAATTTTTAAATAAATAAATAAGTTCCCAGAGCCGAAAAATGATTAAACATGTCCGGAATTTGACGATGAGTCATCGAGTCCTACTACGTTTCAAGCAAAACTACATAAATTGTCGGTTTGGCTTAAATTCTCCGAAATGCGATCGTTTAATTGTTTCACAGCAGCATGAATTTTGCAAGGAGAACTCTTAGTAATTTTATAGTAGTTAGTTTGGCTAAAGTGAAAGCATTCGGGTATTTAAGTATCTGGCAGGGTAAATAAATAAGTAAGTGGGGACGTGTATCATCATCTTCATCAAAACCGTCCCTATGGCACCCGGGTAAATAAACAGAACCACCACACATGCACAACTACCATTACGACATCAATTTTCCGTATAAAAATTTGTGGCTTGGCTGGCTGCACCTGTTACCATTGAAGAGAGACAGCTTTTGGAGAGGAGACGGAAGAAGAATGGATGTCATTGACCAACTTGATTGTCTCATTATTCTGTCATGACGAGACAAAGGTTGATGAGCCACCACCAAAAAAAGTCCAAAGGGAGAAAGTACAAACTGCGGGCAGTTTGCACTTTCTCCGATGTTTTTATGTGTACATACTCTGGGTGGCAGCTAGCAAAGTATGACTTATTGTACACCCACTCGACAAATACCCAGTGTTTCGGGTGCAAGTAACCACATGCAAGAAATGTGAGGTGCAAGAAACTATACTTCATAAGGCACGTGGCTAAATGGCGCATATTTCTTGCACTTTCTCCAAGTTTCTTGCACCTCGCATTTCTTGCATTTCTTGCTTTCCAGTGCAAGAAATGTGGCAAACCCGCACGAAATTAAACACTGCAAATATGCATCACGCAAAATTTCCCTACGTATTTATATCCACATACGTACACGATTAGCCTACTTGATCGACTATCTTGACCTCAAGCCAACACCTACTTGACAAATATCGCACGAAATTTCCCTATATACATGATTAGTTTGCTTGACTATGTATGTATCTTGACCTCAACCGACTGCATAAATTATTAGGCACACACAAATTTGCAAATTTACATAACCTCCGCCCACTCACAATATGGAGTCGATGCTGGTCATCCAAAACCTTTAATGTCGGTAGCGTCACGGTTCTATAAAGTTGGAGACGTTTCTTGACCGCGGCCGAATTGAGGTCGTCCTCTCTGTGCTGAGATAATCGGTTGTTCGCCCTCTGACCCAAACTCCGACCTAGCTCGACTTCCGAACAGTCCACGAGAATGCAGGGTGGAGGTGGCGATACGCCGGGAAACTATGTAACATGTAAATTAAACACCAAACTTTCACCTAAGTAAGTAATCAGAGGGCGGATATGTATTTGCGGAAAATTGCTGAAATGTGTATTTAATATTTACGAAGAAAATCCCAAAAATATTTGCAAAGTATGTACATAAGAAAGTAAAATATATTACGTATATACTAATATACCCATTACTAATATAAAGATTTCAGAAAATTTGTATTTTTGAAATTAATTCTCGGGATTTTTTTCTTGTTCAATTGCTTTCAGCAAAAAAATTGTCTCAAATCGTTGAAATATTTGCAAAATATCTCTACAAATTGTATTTTTTGAAAAAATATTTAAAAGATTTAGATATGTATTTTTCAAACAGCGGAAATATTTAAGATGTATATGTCTGAAAACCAAGAAATAATTAAGAATGTGTAAAAATATTTCGTAATTTTTGGATTTATAAAAGTTAGGGAACACATCCACAAACTTTGACCCTCGGTCGTCATCACAAAAAAAGTTGAAAATGAGTACATATCCTCCCTCTGCACATTAATTGAGTCTCTCACTCACCATGTCACGGAAGCCTTCCACCTGCTTCAGCGTTCTCGGGAAGCCGTCGAGTACGAAACACTTTTTCGATTTTGCCTTCGACATGGCGTCACGAATGAGGGCGAGGACAATGTCGTCCCGGACGAGCTCCCCTTTCACGAGGGCGTTCCTCACAGCCACGATCTGGTCGGGGGAAAGGAAGTTGGGCACTTGGTGGTTCTTGGTCTGGTGAGACTTTCCCCCCGCGTGACCATTGCTCGTGCTTCCCCCGGCCACGGCCACGATGTTTCTGAGCTCATCCCCCACACTGATCCACTCCCACCGACCTGAGTGGTGCAGGCGGACGGAGGTGGAGGACAGGAGAGACTTGTTGGAACCAGGACCCCCAATTATCCAGATCACCTGAAAAAAGAGGGAGAAAATTAAGGAGGAGAGACATCGCAAGGAAGTCTCCCAACGTATATTCTCCGATTTTGGCCTGAGAATCGAGCACAAATTGAATTATTGTGAAATTTGCATAAGGCACGATCTCCCAATGGTCACGTTTGGGGAGATATTTGCATCCAAAGAGGAGAAAATGTGCTTAAACTCGACAAATTGTACATTTTCAAAATTTACTGTGCATTTTCTCCTCTTCGGATGCAAATATCTCTGTCAAACGTGCGCATTCTGAGAGAGTGTCTTTCTAAAAGATCATATTAATTAAAGCTGCGATCGATTGACCCTACTTTAGTCAAGACCTCTATTGTGAGAAAATTGAGATATCCAAAAGTACCTTTTGTCCGACCGAGATTTGCTGAGCAATCCCCCTCGCAGCACGAGCTGGGACATCCGCTCCGGAAATGAGACTCTTCCCACCCACTCCGTTCTGCCTCTTGTTCCCAGCACCGCCACCTTTGTTGTACCCACCGGCCGGAATCGCAGCAAGGGAGGCATCAACGGCCGCCAGAAAGTCGTCGTACACCTGAAAAAAAATCATATTTTGAGAGAAAATATTTCTCTCACGGTCATCTTAATTTAGAAATTGCGTACCTCTGTCGGCTGCCTTTCTCCGTCCACCACGGTCAGCTTGTCCAGTTGGTCAAAGTACTCGGCCACTGGAGATACATGCTTTATAGTCATGAATCACACCCTATTTTATTTTCTTAACTTACCCGACAACACATTTTTCGAGTAATTTTTCAACTCCATTCTCGCCAGTTGAAGAACAGTGTCCCCCAACTGAGACCCGTATTCGATTTGCTTCTCCAAAATTCGAATATGCCAATTCAACAGAATTACGGCATCGATACGTTGAAGCTGAAATACGCAAAATTTACATAAGACCAAGATTGTCATTCTTATTAATCCGTCATCATCATCATCAGAACAATGTGTACATTTGCACATCACAACGACACACTTTTGCCAAGGCCGTACTCACCCGTACCTAAATAAACCTATTCATTATGTACACATTTACGCAGTCCTACTTTCCCTCCAGGTAAGTAAAACGGAGCACTTTCTTCCTCTGCCTCTTGGAAAGTCGAACATCGCATCATTTTTTTCTGAAACTTTTTGTTAAATCGATGGACACCGTTTTTCTCCACCTTTTTCTTCAAGTGAGATAAACTATTTTTACACTTTTTTCCCCTTTTTCTACGCAAATAATAAGTCTGTCAGATAAGAAGTGAAATGAAATGAAAGGAGAGAAGAAACTAGTCACAAGTTGAGCGTGGATCAATTAATCAACATGTGGCATGCCTGGCGTGGTGCCACTACTGCCACCTTAACAATGCCCAAGTCCTAAATTAGATTCTGAAGAATTTTCATTGTTCACAAACTTCTGGGAAGAATAATAATGTCTCAATAATGCAGTGCAGTTTTTCTTCTCTCTCGTAAAATATTTCTCGAAACGCCTCCTGCCTGCCGTGCCAATCAAGGCGAGATGTGATACCTGATGTGCTGGTGATGAAAGGGTGTATAAATTATAAGGGCAGAAAAATCTATTTCGTATAGCCCGAGTCAGGGACGGAGTAAGCTTCAAAATTTTACTCATTTATGTTCTTTCATGAGAAGTCATGAAGTATCACGGTACAGAATTTCAGATTTTTAAGGCCATTTCTGAAAATTGGTGTAGGTCACCCTCTCTTGTTAATTTTTTAAATTTTTATCTCAGAATTTTTCAAGCACTCAGTGTGCCGAATTTCAGCTTTCTATTTTGAAATTCTGACACGAAATATGCGACCCCAAACGGTCAACCACTCGACCAATTTAACTCATTTACAAACTTGCATGTACATATTTTCACCTTATTAACACCTGTGCAAAATTTGAAGTCTATCGAAAGACAGACAGACATGACAAATACATGAGCCCTCAATCGGGGTAAAAAGAAGTAGGTGAAAAAACACCTCCAGCCGAGACAGAGTGTAACAAATAGCCAATTGATATTTGATTTGATAGCCTTTTTCTTATTCCTTTGATTGGCAAAACTTTCCTTTGATTGGCACCAATCATTAAAGCCGAACTTTCTCCAACAGCGCAACTTTCCCCGCTATTATTATTATTTTGATATGATCATATCGCATAAGTAGTGACCAGAAAGAATTTTGCTAATGGTTTGTTGTGTCTCGATAACTCTTGGTGTGGTCCTTGGAGGAAAAAAGGACGAAAAAAGGAATTAAGTGACAAACGCGAGAAAAAAATTGGTTCAAGGGCAGCGAGACAAATGACAATGAAACGAGAAATGAGTTGACCATGCGGCTGGCTGGCCATTTCCCACGACGCCACCCCGAAAATAAACACGATTACTTATTACGTACCTTATTTTGATACTCCACCACATCCCGCATACTCCGAGGATAACCGCTTATCAGATATCCTCTCGCATTCACCGCCATCTTAATTTCCATTTGTAATACTTCTATCAAATTGGAGGGTGGGATGAGGCTAAAATCGTTGAGGCCTAAATATATAAATAGAGGAATTCAGAAATTAACAGAAATTTAAGGTGGACTTGTATCTGTTCTGTATCCAAGTTTTGAAATTAATTTTATGTGTCTCAACTTTCTCTTCTTTTATGTATTCAAATGGCGATTTTGAAACCTTTTCATCTCCGTGCATTTTTTACAGAATTTTTAGGTCTGCAGAGTTAGCAGGGTAGAATTCAGATTTTTTTTCTTCCGTGAGAAAATAGAAATAAAATAGATAAAAAATAATAAGCGAAAATTACACATTTTTTCATGAAAAAAAATCAAAATTATAACCCCCTAACTTAGCAAATCTAAGGATTATCGATTTTTGGATGCAATAAAATCCTCATATTGTTAAAAACGCACAAATGTGAACAGGTTTCAAAATCGTCATTTGAAACATCGACGAGGGAAAGTTGAGTCACAAAAATTCAACTTCAAAACCCGCATATAATTGAACATTAAGGTCTTTCTTATCATTTTCCCACCATTTCCGACGATATGTTGTTGGATGAGGTCCGTCATGTTGATATGAGCGAGGCCCGACCTTTCCTGCACGACGCGGTCACAATGCGTAATCTTCCCCGACCCAGGACCCCCAAGCACGAATATGATGGGCGTTCTAGGCGGCGATATCTTCTCGTCCCCACCAACCCCACCGTTCCTCATCCCGTCATTATTGTTCAGCTTGGTCGACCCCACACCACCGCCAGAGCCATCCGCACCCTTACTCGAAACAAACCTCCCGTCGGGGTCCAACAGGTCGGAAGTTATTGCTGACGTGTCTGAATAAAAAACATTTATTGGGAACAATTAATTAGGAAATTTATTGGGAAAAATCAGGTTTTTTTTATTGAATGGTTAAGTTTTTATTAAAGGTGCCGATCAAGCGTCAGTATAAGTACTACTTTTTTCAGCTTTGGACACCTGACGAAATCATGCACTCGAATATTTTATTTAAAAAATATACTTCTTAGATAAGTAAATTAAGTTGATTATAATTAAATCGTGGTTTTTGAGCTACGTGCGTACCTTTTCCCATGCAGACGCCCATAGTCCGAAAGATACTAATGGTGATAGCAATGATATCGGTGACGGTATGCTGAGCAGTGTGCTTGTTCCTCTTTCCCTTCCCATGTCCTGCGTGTGTCCAGACGAAGGGCTGGCAGCACACTAACGACTTTCACCACCACAACACACACCTGGAGTGGTTTCGAAGGATGGACAGGTAGTTGGATTGGATGGACATATACCTACCTCTATATTCGCAGGTATGGGTGATGATGATTACGTATGTATGGCGCTTGTACCTTTATTGGGGGTGTCACAGCGTATGCTCTCAGATTTTTGGCCAATTAGTGTCAATCGATCATAAATTTAGGTAGTATGAAATTTGCGAAAGACGCGATCTCCCAATGGTCACGTTTGGTGGAGATATTTGCATCCGAACGCGCAATAATTTTGCAGTGTAAAATTCATCGATTTTTAGGTGCGTTTTCTCCTCTTCGGGTGCAAATATCTCTGCCAAACGTGACCATTGGGAGATCGTATCATTTGCAAATTTCATATTACCTAAATTTATGATCGATTGATACCAGTTTGCTCAAAATCGGACAGCAACCGCTGGGAGACCTCCACTGTAAGTTACATAGTTACCTGAGTTGAATGGACATTCGCCAACAGTCCACTCTTTTTTATATCTAATCGATATTACCTATTACCTTCAATCCAATCCAAAATCCTCCTCCTCTACTCCAGTAAAGTTGTCTTACAAATTCTGTGGCTTTGGCTTTCTCTGTATGTACACGCTATTTGCATAAATACCTTATTCCTCACCACCAACCACCTAAATATGTACTCCTCCTTAACTATCTTCTTCTTCAGGTAGAATTTGGACGCTGACATCATACCGCGCGGGGTCATTTTGTATAAATATTTACGTAAAAACATTTCAATAACTTATTTATTCGAATTCTTTATGAAACCGATATCCACACAGTTTACGTCTCCCATTCTTACTTCCGGGTGTGTTCAACCCGTTCAAATGGCATAAAATAGGGATGAGACCAACACGGAAATTTGGTTTGGTTCCTTTGTAAGGTTAATTTTTAAAGTGAAAATTCCTAAACTTTTCATAAATAAGCGAGAGCAACTTGTCCCATTTTCGTTTGTATGCAATTTTTTTGCGAAGTAAACATTTCGCATGAAAAAGAAATGTCAGCATTTTAAATTTTTGCTTTCTCCAGCAATTTCAATCCATTATTTCAAACTCTGTAAGTTTAACCGCATCGGAATCATGATCGATTTAAGTAGTAACTACTTTTATTTTCCTAGTTTTTATTTCTTTCTTTCTCTTTATATTTTGACTAGCTCATTCGCCAGCCAACATTTTTTGTTCCCTTGCCCAATAGCAGGAGCCAAAAAGCGGGCATTTGGTGACAGACGGAGAGAGATATGACAGCAGGATGACATTGGAATGACATGACATGACAAAGAAGACGACGACGACGACCAGCATATGTGTACACGCCATGCATGCAATACCACCACCACATGTGTATATACAATACATAGCACAGTACAGTACAATATAAATTCCCAATAGATACATGCATACGTGTTCCCAGAACTTTCTCCACACAAGGATACTACCCAACCGCCGATGGTGATGACACATCTTTATCATCCGACTAAATTCCTGTGCTGCTTTTTTTTCAGAGAAATTATTATGATTATTGCATAACCAAACCAAACCGAGGGAAAAGCCGTGTGCATAATGGTGATTTGCTTGATTAGCCATCGTTTGGATTTCCATGAGCGTCCTGTTATTGATTTCTTTTCAGTAGACACACCGACCGACAAACGAAACGAAACGAAACGAAACAAAACTCATCCACGACGGAGGACAAACTCAATTATTACGCAGTTTTGCTCCAAGTGGTGGAGCTTAATTGGATTTATTTAGGTGCTGCATAGGTAATAAGTGATACGTATGATATCATGATGATTATTCCTCCTGGGGTCACGCTCGCGGTAATTATGCTAAAATCCGACCCGGCCAAATTTCCCATTACAACTTTCACTCGATGAGACGAGACGCAATAATTTCCCCATTTTCTCCACCCACACGGTCATCACAATTTATGTTTGGGTTCCTGATTTGTTGGCATAAATGCATAACAAAATATTAAATGTTGTTTGTCTATCGCGAAAAAAAAGATATCATTTAGCCTGCTTTTTTCAGTTTGACATTGGATAAAGAAAAGGGAACGTTATCATTATGGATAATCACAATTTTGGCTGTTATCAACAACAAAATTATAAAATGACAAAACATCCCACGACAATTTGAAATATCGATTTTTATCCAGAATATCGTCAATTTTTTTCATGCCAAGAATCAATAGTGGTTATAATAAGTAGAATGTAAATAAATGCATTGTTGTCCTCGGAAAGTTTGTACGTATGTAGTTGGGAACAATATGCACTTGACATGAGGAGGGAGACCATGAATTCTATTAGTTCATGGGTATCGGGTGCATGGTAATGATAATGGCGTCTCGTGGATGTCGTTATTATCATGAAGACATACTTTTCCTCTGCACACTGACGAAAAGTTTATGATAATTGATGATAGCGGATGAAGGAAAGTAAATAAATACTTGGAATTTTTGTCGAAAAGAATTTTGAGTGCACTTTTGTTTGTTTAGAAAAATATAATAACTTGGCGTTTATTTTTTTAACTCGTGGCATTTAAAAAAGGTAAGTGCTGTTAAGTAGTGGACTAAGAAAATACTGGTCGAATACTTACAAATGTATTTAAATTGTTTGGCTGGTTGGAGAATGAAACTCGGTATTATTTGGTTTGGGGGAATTTATAATGGAAGGGAGACATTGGGGATGAGATGGTAACAAAAATGTACAAAATGAGACAATAGTATGCACGTACTAGTGGAGAGTAAGCTTTACTTGCCGTATCCACCTGAATAAAGAGACATGGAAGAATTAGGGGGAAAGTTATGCTATGTAAATTGAGGAATTTCTTACCGTGACCTCCACCACCCCCTCCGTGGCCACCCCCTCCGTATCCACCACCCCCATGGCCGCCACCACCATGTCCACCCCCACCGCCACCACCTGTTTGCATATTTAGATTGGTATTTTTGTACAATATTACAGATGAGATCAAATTACGAACCTCCATAACCTCCCGAAGTCCAGCCCCATCCGTGACCTCCACGACCTCCGCCCCCACCACCGTGGCCACCCCCTCCGTACCCACCCCCACCATGACCTTTTCCGCCACCGCCGCCCCCACCGTATCCACCTACATAAAGAGACATGGAAGAATAAGAGGAAAGTTATGCTATGTAACTTGGAGAATTTTCTTACCGTGACCTCCACCACCCCCTCCGTGACCTTTTCCGCCACCACCCCCACCGTGGCCGCCCCCTCCATATCCACCACCTCCATGCCCTTTTCCGCCACCGCCGCCGTGACCTCCGCCTCCATAGCCACCACCGCCGTGTCCACCACCTCCATGCCCTCCTCCCCCTCCACTGTGACCCCATCCCCATCCTCCGTGTCCACCACCGCCCCCTCCATGTCCGCCACCACCCCCACCATGTCCACCACCACCCCCTCCATGTCCGCCACCACCCCCACCGTATCCTCCTAAGACAACGAAAATTCAGACCTCCCTCTTACCATTTGTACGTCTCTCTTTGTATTCCTTAAGATGCATACCATGTCCACCAGCGTCAGCCAACTGGACCAGCAGCGCCACGCCGACCACTCCCATCAACACCACACGTGCTCGCACCATTGCTCGCACTTGCCTAATTTATTTCCAATTTAAAATCAAACTCTGAGACTGAAATCCTATTGTCAATCCACACACAACTGATATCATTCATCACAGAATTCACGCCATTTATACTCCTCGTGCACACATGATGGTCCAATGCATCCTGAAACGATCTGCACTGCACATTTCAAATTGCGACCATGCACCAAGCCAAGCCAAGTATGTACATAAAATGCAGAAGCCAAACCCCTCTGAATTTGCAACACCACAATTTCAAATCAACCTGACGCACAAATTTGTGCATGCAAAATACCACTTCAGACCTTCCTTTGTAAAGTTATTGACGACCGTCAACACCCGCCCATGCTCGACCCTGGTCCGTTTTTTGCAAAAAAAAATCTACGGAATTATCATGCCCATTAATTTATTAACCGATTCGCTTATTTATTATCTCTAAATTTTTATGGCTTCATGCTTCGCCATGTTTTTGTCACATTTTTGCTTTTATGACCAATTGTTGTCTCTTTGGATGAGTGGTGGTTGGATCAAGACAACAGAACAGTTATTCATTTGGCATCACGGTAAAAAAATATTATTAGTTTTTTTAATGAGTCGCAAATTATCGGTATTGAAACTTGTTGTCCCAAAAAAGTGTCAAGATCGCAAGCAAAATTTCAAGTTATCGTTATGAAATAAATATGTACATATAACCGGCAAGAAAATGAAACTGAATCAATTATTTGTACAAAAAATGGAATACTTAGTTCCGCTGCATTCTCTCTCGCGAAAACATGCCATTAAAATTAGGATGCAATCAAATGCAGTTCGGTCGACCAACCATGAAAAGTAGGAAAAAAGTGCACCTAACTGTATGTATTATAAGCAGAGGGCGGATAATCATTTATATTTTCAACTTTTCCATTGTATGACGATAAGGGGTCAAACTTTGTGGATGTGCTCCTTAACTCATATAGATCACAAAACTTTCAAAATATTTTTTCATATATTCACATGTATCTAGTTTTTTGCTAAATATTTATAAATATTTCCGCTATTATTTGAAAAATACGCAAATCTTTTAAATACTTTTTCAAAAATTTGTTTTGTAAATATCCCGTTCCAACGATTTCAGGAGATTTTGTTGCTCAAAGAAATTGGACCACAAAGAAATCGAGAGGATTAATTTCAAAAACACAAATATTTTGTGAAAATTCCTACCTATTCTTATGTACATATTTCGTAAATATGTTGAGATTTTTTCATAAATATGAAATATTTCACCGATTTTTCCTAAATACATATCCGCCCTCTGGTCATAACTACGTACGTGGTACCTTGTTGCATTGGGTTGCATAGTCGGTCACAAGAAATGGCGTAGCGGAGGAGAGAAAGGGTTAAATTTTGCTAAAAAATGCCCCAGTTCTAATGATGCATACAGAATTTAAATGCCACAGACTCACACCACGAAAATTGTTGAGGTACTTTTTTTCACGTGGTGTTCCCCTCTATGTGTTCATCATCATCGCCTATTCTCATTCGATAAGGTCCACACACATCAATTATTAGGATTTTGTTACCAATTGATTGTGCAAACTGAAATCGACCCGTGTAAGTAAATTAATGATCCGCCACAATTACAGTGGCTTCCGCACTGTCATTTTCCACATGGTTATTCAGTGCATCTACCTCAAATATTTTAGTACATGTGCGTCTAATCTAGTTAGTTACTAACTAAATAGTGGTTTTGGTTTGGGGCATGTAATGCACAGGTCGATCACTTTTGTTAAAGTTGCATTCAAATTATGCAACATTTTGCGGCTTAAGTTGCAAGAACTTTTAGACCCAGACTAGTTTTTGTAGGTATGTCATGTACTAAAAATTGTCAGGTTGGTGGCAGGATTTGAAATCAATTACCTGCATAAACTGATGCGTCATCCTGAAAAATGAATGCGTCACCATTAACGACTCGGTGACATATTATGGACGAGAAAAAACCACTCCCCCCAAAAAACTAGGCGCCACCCCGTAAAAAATGTAATTTCAAAATTCCTCGTAATAAATTCAGCCCTCATTTCATAATTTCCATTTCCTTAAAGTAGTTTATGTAGACATGGCGTCGTCGTCGTCAAAACCGTCTCCCACTCCACCCCGTCAGCGCACCACCCTGTTCACACCACGGCCTTCCAGCATAAAAAATATGAGGAGGACGACGCCCTCCTCGTCGCTACAAGTGTTATCGACTCCTTCCAGTAAAAGTCATGTCATTCCGGCACGTCGGCGTCACCCCAGGCTCGGCGTTCCCGTCCTGGTCGGGACCCAGCAGCCCATCCCGGTCCACAACCCGGCCACGGCGAACCGGAAGAAGCACAACGTTTCCAACTCCTCCATCGTGCTGGATACGATTCACCGCTGTCCAATCTGCTGCCACGGCCTCGTCGACGAGGACGGACTCTCCATGCGAGAAAACTACCTCAAGTACAAGAAGGACGCGGAGTTTAGGCGACGCAAGTTGGAGGATGGCTGGGAAGGCAGGCCAGTTAAAAAGACGGATGACGATATCATTGTGGTGTCTACGTGTGGGGAACTTTTTCATAAAAAGTGCCTTCTGAAATTTTGTTCCACGTCGAGTTCCGTTATCGGGTAATTAATTGTGGGCACATGCAATTTTTATATATAAACAGTGTTTCAGTTGCAAGAAATAACGGGAAGAAAGTGGTTTCTTGCAGCTATTTTGACCTGTAAGAAATACAAGTCGCAAGAAACCACGCCCGCCGCTGTATTTCATATGACGCATGTTTCATGCAATTTAGGCGTGTGGCTAAATGGCGCATATTTCTAGCACTTTTTTGCACCTTGAATTTCAAAAAATGTAGCAAACTCGAAAGAACGCGTTAATAATTATTTATTAATACTTCAGGTCGACCACGCGATCCGTGCGGTCAATGTTGAGTTCACTCTTGCCCCACCGTCCACGAAACTGTCCCCGTTGCACCGGGGTCTTGATGTACTCCCACTTTCAAGAGGTAGACCTCGATTCGCACCGCTCCAAGGCGAATGGAGCCACCAAATGGGACAAGTTTTTTGACGAGACGAGATTTGTGCACCAGGAACTTCTCTATAATCGAGACAAGGGTTTGCAACAAGTCAACGAGCTACAGAGCAAACTGCAAACGGCTAAAAATTCGCTGGAAAAGTTGAGAGAAAGGTAGGCCGGGTTAGAATTGTGTCTGCCTACAACGGATCACGCCACACTCCAACAGCAGCTGGACCTTTGTCGGAGAAGAAGGTCGGAAAAGGCGTGGATAGAAAATTACATTTGGAAGGCGCAACGAGTAATTGAGTACATGCAGAAGGAGACGCCCAACACGATGCGACTCTACTTGTGAGTCACAATTTACACTGTTTAGTTTCGACATTTCTTGCATTGCAAAGCAAAGAAAGTAAGAAATGCGAGGTGCAAGAAAGTGCGAGAAAGTGCAAGAAATATGAGCCATCCAGCCACACGCTGTATAGTTTCTTGCACCTTGCATTTCCTGCAGGTGAAAATAGCTGCAAGCAACCACTTTCTTGCCGTTATTTATTGCATGTGATTACTTGCACCTGAAGCACTGTCAGTTAACTGTTAATTTATCAGGAATGAAATTACAAGCAAATACATGATTACTTAATTATCTAGGCAAGAAGTCGTGGCGAAACCGTTGGACGAGATCCCAAAGAGAACGCCCATCCCGAGGATGCTAATTCCATATTTGCATCAAATAGCAGACGACGACTACTGTCTGTTCGCCTTATCTCAAATCGTGGAGCCTCGACCATATCCTGGCACGCGATTCGATATCGACGACCTTCTGTTGGGAATTCTTAAAAAAGGTGTCAGTTCGGATATTTACTAATTTTATAACGATGTAATTAATTAAATTGTTAATCAGTGAACCCCACCCTGTGTCATCAACTGTCCAACTCGTCCGCCAAATCTGGGTCTTCCATTCTGCCCACGTACAACGCCCTTTTCCCCGACACTTGTCTCCCCATATTGAAAAGTCTTCGAGACAAGGAATCCGCCTCTGCGAAAGCCTCAGAAATTCCGGTGGTCAAAGACTCGCAGGGAAACGCGCTGGCAATCACGATCATGTACATGGTGGACGACGATGATGACGACGACGACGACAAAGAACATGACGAGCAGACCATTAAACTGCCTCCGGATCAGTTCATCCTGGCCGAGAAGGCGTCAAACTTTGTCCTCCGTTCGGGACATAGCAGCAACGTGACGTTGATGGAGAGTGACGATGGTCAAGGGATGACGACCTTAGTCCAGTGGGAATCACCGGAAGTGGAAACGTCACGTATAGAAGAAGACGTAAGTGTTATCACTTTACCACAACCCGGCCCAGTTTTATCTTCACCCGCCTCCACCACGGCGCAAACTGTCGACACCACCACCTCCACTCTCGACCGACCATTATTTACCGACGACGATGACCGGCACGACGACTCTTCCACGAAATTAATCGCTGCTGTGATGAAGAATCCGGAAGTTGACGACTCTTGCTCCAAGAATCATCAAAGCATTGACGACTCTTGTTCCTCTTCCGTTCTGCCAGGAATGCAGTCTTTCTTGTCACTCACTTCAATCCATTCCGCTCCACCGCCACCCTGCCCGTCACGACAGGTGAACGGGCAAGAAGAAGACTTTTCCAGGCTGGTCGTCAACCCTGTCGTCACTCAAGAAGATGAAGGGACAAATCCTTCCCCTCGTCTTCCTCGTATCAACAAAAGTGACATCACTCACATCGAGACGCAATGCTCCATGTCCACCCTGTCTGACGTCACGACGACGAATGTGTCGGAAAATGAGCACTTTATCCAAGTGGGTGGTCCCCCCATGTGCACAAACTATGGCGATGGTGGAAAAGAGGAGGAAAGATCAATATTCGCCCCACAAGTAGCACGCTCTGGTCCCCTGATTCCACTTCTGCCTCCCATCCACGCCGCCCTTGGTGGTCTAAACTGTCCCGTCGTCAAGCCATCACTGGAAAGTCCGTCCCGAAGTGGCACCAACATCGTCCCCGCCACAACGAATGACAGCCATACGAAAGTAGTCATCGAATGCGAGACTG